ATTGATGCCCATTTTTGTCAATTTTTGTAAACTAGAATATACGGAGACCATCCAAAAAAGTCCATTGCAACCGAGGGACATATTTAAATGACTACAAGACCCTTTGCTCAAACATTCGAATTTTTTCTACTACTATTTATTGTTTCGGGTCCGTGTGCTGGGTTTTGTAAACAGACCCATGGCACCTAAGTCATAAAAAAGTTTTTCAAATAATTTTATCATCCCTGACAAAATACGTTGGCCTTCACAAGTCCTCAACACAAAAAGAAGAGTCAGAATCTTATTATGATTCACCCTTACTTCTTGACATAATTTCTTATTGAATCGTTACTGACCAGTACACTTCATTGTCAAGCAATTACGTCCAGTAAATTCTATATTATATACCAACCTTAATAATACGTTACATAAAGACCTTTTTGCAGTGATCCAAAGTAGCATCCGCCAATTATGGCGTACTGGTATAAAAGAAACACGTTTAGTTGGTTTCAATATGACCGTCCTTTTTAATCTATGTCCATGAAACGGCACGTGGATGAAGCGTTATTATTCATATGGCTACCCCCTATCTTATTTTATAGAGCGTTTGAAACGTATGAATATGTAAAGAACCTTCAAACATGTGATGTTAGTCACTTTATAATCTAAGGCAAGCTTACTTACCCTTTGCCAAACACCGTGCACTAATCCAGACGACCATTTTGTTATAACTAAATAGAGAGCGGCGCGTCTATTGTTAAAAAATCGGCCACAAAGGACTCCATTATATTACCGGTACAGTAAGTTTTCAGTTTATGCATAGATTCGCTGTTTCAAGTTTGATAATGATATCTATGCTCGTTTTCAGCAAGCTTTCTTAAATTTTTAGGAACCCCTAAGCCAATAGGTGTCATTTAACGATGTCTTGGTTCTTACCTTGTGTACGTATAGGTATACGTGACACCTAGTAGTACCAGTTAGGGGTTAGTTTAAGTGCTATGGACTTAGCATGAGCTAAGTAACTTTTTGGCATGGTTGGTGATAACCGAATACTAACAAAATGGCAGTTTGTCAATCAGTCTCCTCATCACTATCAAACGGAGTTATAACAATAACTTTCTACCGGACAGGTTGTCATAACGCAGAACTAATGGAAAGAAAATAAATAATAATTTGTGTTATGTAAAAGTTTTATATTTATATACTTCATGTTTTTTTACACGAATGAGAGACATGATTGTAGAAAGTTTCGTAAACAGTCGTTCATGCTGATAATGAGTGTGAATGAATTGTGACGTGGGTTTAGTGATCGTCTTACGAAGTATTTTGATTGGACAATTTTGTCATTAGGATATAACATAAACATACATAACATAACATCTCGCCTTTTATCCCCGAAAGGGTAGGCAGAGGTGCACATTGCGGCACTTCATGCCACTGTACAATGTAACGCCCACTTTTCACTATTTATGTTACGAGTCCCATGTAATAGGGGGTGAGCCCATTGCCCTATACCGGGTACAATTCCAGACTCCGTGCTATTACTGAGATTTTTTTCAAAATACCCAGTAATGCTCTGCCCGACCTGGGAGTCGAACCCGAGACCCCTTGCCAGGCAGTCGCAATCGCGACCACTCAGCCAACGAGGCAGTCATTAGGATATATTTGCCTGATCCGGCCCTACCTTTGGCCATAGTCTCCTAAAGGAAACAGATTTTAGGACTTCCGATACTTGTAGCTGGTGAACCTAATATTAACTATTTATATCGATCTGAATTATGTGTCAACGCTAAAGAAGAAGTCTTAATATTAATTTCGCAGATTGATCAAATTACTTCTAGAAAGTGGTTTTGAGAATGCACTTACATTTTTGTGCATATAGGTACACAAAGCACCGCTAATTAGTTAGCGGCGCTACACATCGACACAACTATCATTTACACAATATACATGTGTGGGTAATTTCATATCAATAGATATGTATAGAAACAATCGTCTATCACACACATCTTGGTATTTAAAAATCATTTTTGTGTCGGTATACGCAATAATTTAGTAAATAAGTTTAAATAAAAACGAGGGTAAAGATAAAATTACTCATAACAAACTTTGAATAAATCGAAATCAAAAATAATGAACGATCGAGCTATACAATACCCATATAAATATAGTGCTTTCTCATTGTAATTTTATGTTACTGAATGATATAAAATATTTCGATGATCTCATCTACAGCGCGCTTGGCGCAATGGTTATCGCCTCCAATTGTCAAGTAAAGTGCCGCCGGATCGATTCCAACATTCACATGTTGTTTTAGAATTAATTTATCAAATATTTGAAATTTGAAATTAGAAACAATTAAATCTTTTCTTTTTTTTCCTTTCCTATTGTTCTAAATCTTATGTTAATTTTAATAGTAAATACTTTAGATTTATTTATACCTATAATATCTTTTATTTATATTTTAGTTCTAGTTATTTATTATTTAGAATAATCTCATTTGCTTCATGCATTTCAACCAACTTAAATAAGATAAAAACAGTAAAAAAGTAATTAACTGTGATTTCTTAATGGTTCGATACCTGAGTATATTTGCAATGTTTGTGGCGACCATAGAAATCTCGAGTCATTTTATTTTACACGCTTATGAAGTAACTACCGACTATTTAAAACATGTTTTTCAAATCACCCGACTTACAAAATAATTGCGTTCTTAGTTGTCAATTTATGAGGATTTCATAGTTTATTGCTACACTACTTATATTCGTGTGCAAAGTTATTTTTATTTTTACAAGATGTTCCAACACCTATCAACATTTAAAAAGGCTGAAACCATTGTTTTGCATGAGCAAAACATAACTAACAATAACTGAAATAGCAAGGCGTTTAATGATATCGGTGAGTAAATAAGATACTACGTTGATATTCTAAATAATATTTATTTCATTTTGTAACTCGACACACCTATCAATTTTTGCACTAGAATAAAATAATTATTGCAACTTATTATGAAGTTCAATATTATAAAGATATATTAATAATTTATTATTAATTGTATTGTAACTTGACTTGTTTTTGTTAGGAGTGTTTCTTTAAAACATATCTGGTTAGGGATTTTTATTCCTTACGCCACTACTTAATTATAAATTATTATTCTAACATTGTGTTTACTTATATTTATTATTATTTTTAAGTAACTTTAATTCCTGTAAAGTATTTCCTGGTATTTTAAATACTTATTTGTTTGGTATCAACAGAGGAGATCCATGCAGTTATGGGTGCACAGATATGCGGAGACCGGTGACGTTAAACATCGTCGACGTGGGCCTAAACCAAAGGCAAATTCATCGGCTCGGCACTACGACATCGTAGCCAGGCACATGGCTGATCCGTTCCTGCCAACCCGCACTACAGCGACAGCACTGAATGTTTTAATACAAACTGTACGGAGACACCTGCATTCTGGTTTAAGGTGCAGGAAGCCAGAGAAGAAAATATTGTTATCTGTGGTTCACCAGCAAAAGCGCTAAGAATTTGCTAAGGACTTTATTAATTTTGATTGGGCGAACAGTGTAATCATATTGAGCGACGAAAAGACTTTCAAGTCGGATAAGGATGGGCGTAAAATATTGTGAAGAAAAGATGGAGAAAGGTATACGAATTGCAACCTTCTGCCTTGTAGGATCAGTGATTGTATTGATTTCGGAATCAATTATTGAGCCTGTCAAACTCTGCCTTTATTAAAATTAACATAAAATAATGTTTAATTTTTTTAAGAATATTAAAATGCTGTCTAGAACATACGGTGAAGTGATGTTATTGTTTTGTGGTTAGAAATTGTCATAATTTCTTTCTATTCAACATGTTTATTCACTTCACTTTAATTTTTCATTAACAAATTTATTTAACTGCTTTCGAACTTGATTGACATATTATATTTACGCCCATCTTCAATTAATTTAAAGTTTCCCTGATTCTAAAGGTCATGAAAGTTAAAATCGTTCCATAGCATTCGTCACATTCTTTTTACTATCATACAGCCCACTGAATATTGAACCTTATAACAACCGTCGTAAAATAGATAATTAATGGAAGTTCAAACGACAAAAAGTCGCCCATTTCAAGAAATATTTGACAGTGTAATTTTTTACATGTTTTACTTGTTTATTACTGTAAAACTGTAATTTAATAATACATTATATTATTAAATTACAAAACAAGAATGTTGTATATTTGTTTATTACCTACTTAATAAAAAATGTTGCTGCCATCGTATTACCGCTGTACCGCATGATATTTCCCGATTCGACTATGAGGTTTATTGTCATATCTATTAATGATTTAAAGAACTTTAAACTTAACATGTGGTATATAATTAATTATTAGATATAAATATTGAATATAAAACAACATATTTGTATAATAAATAAATTAATTGTAATAAAAAATAGTATTGTTTTATTTACCAACTCATTTGCTTCTTTTATAGCCTGATATTTATATTTTATGACAAAAAACAAAAAAAAAAAATAAGAAAAATAACAAGGTAAAATAAAATTAACTTTTAGCTGGAATAGAACCCACATCATTGATCCTTGAAAGACGATAAAAGCGTGCTCATTAACCAATCGACCACGAGCACTACGATAATGACAGTGAAAATGTCGGGTCATATCAATGATTGTAAATAGTTTTAACCTTACCTATGCATTAAATTATAAAAATACGTATACCGACACAAGAATGAAAATACCAATGTGAACGTGGTGGACGAATATTTTTATATACAGTTATATGAAATTACGCACACATGTACACTGTGTAAATGACAGTTGTGTCGATGTGTAGCGCTGCAACTAATTAGCGGTGCTTTGTGTACATACACTATAACACTATTATCACTTGCATTTCGATAGGTACACTATCACACTACCACTTGCATTTGGTTGTGTCATTGCCATTTTCGATACCTCCATGTTCCTTGCTTCAAATTTTTTGTAAGTTTTATGTCATTATTACAGGAAACGGAACGTCGAGTAGACGATGACGAAGACCGAAGCAATCCGCAATACATCCCCAAGAGGGGAACCTTCTACGAGCACGACGACCGAACTGCAGCTAGGTGAGTTTGACTCCTAAGTTGACCATTATTGATTATAAATCTATGTGGTAGAGCCATGTCGCCCCACAAATTGGCAGGTTTGAACGGCACGTGATCCCACGGGCTCACAAAACACAAAAAGCAACGCTTTCGTTGTATTTCGCCGTGTAAGATTACTGTAGACTCAATCCTTTGCCCGCATCTTCAAATCTCCCTATCCTATCCCCTTCCCATACCCTAATGCTCTTAATCTCCCAATTCTTAACCCCCAAATGGCCGGCAACTGCACTGCACTTGTGCACGCCACCTCTGGTGTTGCGGGCGGACACCCGTAATCAATCAGCAATCGGCGTTTAACATGAACATGTGCGACGCCGATTGCTTATCATCAGGTGAAAGACTAGCTCGTTTGCCGACATATCCCATAAAAATCTATTAAGAATAACACAGAAGGCAATAACAGGAATGGCAATTTGGGTGAGTTTAAGCAAGCGTGCTGAGATACTTCGAGAGGGGTGGAAGATATGGGGTCTTAAATTTGGGCCGCGGGACCCTCGGATTCCTTCGCAATCCTGCATTCACATCGGCCTGCGAAATAATCCGGAGTTCTGACGTACCCTGCTTTCAAACGAGACGCTTCTGTTGGCGGTTTCTGTCCTGATATCCTAAGTAGGTAGGTTTGCGGTTATTTGTCATTTGGGTTAAAATGTAAGTATTTTTGGTGCATGAGACTTTAGACTTTAGTTTGTAGATTATAGTGGTTGCATTAAAGTATTTGTCACAATTTATTTGAGTTACGAGAGGTATTAACGGCCATGTTTACATTTTAGTTCATTGCCATTGCGCACCGTAATTACTAGATTTCATTTATCAGAAGTACAAACTGGCGATAGTGGTGCTAAGTATGGTACTCTATTCCAAAAATCAACAGCGAGTAGTATAGTGCATGGAATTTAGTTACTGTATCTGTAAACTCAAAAGCAAGGCAGACATTAGTTTTATTTAATCGTACATATTTGTAAATCTAGTCATACACACACATACAAGGAATAATACATGAAATTGATGATGATATGAATACTCCTTTTTAGAACCTCTAATGAATTAAAAGTCAAAGTCAAAAAGCATTAATTTCAATTAAACAGATAATTTGGTACTTTTGAAACGTCAACAAATACAAAATAAATATTAGTCTGTCAGTCTGTCCATCAGGGAAGCTAAGTGCTCGTTCCAAAATGTAGATTCCAATACGAGGAAGAAAAACCATATGTTACTCTTTTAAAAAAAAAATGGTTTACAATTTCTCTGATACATTATCCTATATTGTACATAAGTACATATAATATGTGAGGACAATGGTAAGACACGTTTGACGCATAAAACAAATTAAAAACTTATTAAAAAAAAAAAAAACAGGCAACAGATGTTTATGCAAATATAGTTCTTATTTCATCCTAATTAGATGTATAGTTTAACCAAAAAATGTTACAGTAACTCGATTATGATGTAACATGGAAATCTTATCGTTATTTGTCACTGCGAAATCATGAAAGTATTGATAAAACAATAGCGTGTCTTGAAATCGGTTTAGTAAGTGAAAATCATGTAATCAACTTGTTTGCGGTTTTAAGAAGTTGAAATCTGGACTATGCAGAAATGTCTCCGTTAATTTTAATGAGAACTAGGATTTCGCTACGGTTCTACGTGTCTATCGTTGTAAAGGGAAAAATAACAGGCACGATTGCAGTCTTCCTATTAAACTGTCAAACCGCAAGGACACAGGTGACCGCAACCTATTGTTCTTTAATTGTGTCTATAAAACCGGTACTCGACGAGTTAAACTGTTAAACACCGGTGACCGCAAGCTATTCTTTAATTTTGTCTATAATGACGGTATCTCAAAGGGTTAAGATTTTGTTTTTGGAAAATCGAATATTACTTCTCTAAATTGATACTATAAAAGATTGTTTTGTGTCACTGTGTCTAGTTATCCAAATGGGGGGACACGCGTAACGATAATTAAGTGTGTATGTATGTACTTGTTCTGCGACGAAATCAAAACCGCGCCACATTGCACAGCGGCCTGTTGCTCGGCTTCTACGCCAGCCGTACAGTCTTTGTCAATGAGATAAATAGATAAACTTTATTTTACACCAAGTACCTTAGTAATTTTAAAATTTTCCAATAGGCAACCTTTGGTGCAATGGAGCGTTGATTAATTTAAGATGGTAGTCTGAAGTGGGGATTAAATACATATTGTCTATTATCATAATAAACACACAAATATAAACATTTACATAATTATACACATACATACCGGATATATAAAAAAAATTTATAAAAAGCTCTACTTACGCCTACATTAATGTAATCGATCTTTTTAAACTGAATGCGCCTACGCATCGCATACCTACGAACAATATTACATTAACATACACCCACAAATCAATATTCCCAATAGTGTATCGCTTGTAATTCAGTGTTTCAGCTTTCTATTGCCGCATCACTGAGTAGTTCGGTCATTACCGCTCGACTGACTGTAATTACGAATGCGTGTGCGCACCTATGTTTGTGCGCTTATGTAATTTTGCTTTGTTACAAAATATTTAGGTATTTTATTTCGATTAAGGCTTTTAGATGAATGTAGAGTTGGTAATTTATGGTTGGGTGTATTTTTTTTGTTATTATTTATAGTATTTTATATTTATTATCTACATAGCAAAGATTAAGGTGAATGAAGAATCTCTTGGCCTGGTATAGTAGGACCATTCAAAATATCAATGTATTTTATAGTAGTTTTAGACATACACATCAAACACTAATCGATTTATGTTATTGTCATTATAAAGTTGTGTACATGACCAAGAATTTGATGTATACCCTAACATTGATATACAATTTATTATGAGTTCTATTCGCTTGCAATAAAGACTTGTTTAAAAAATCACTCAAATTACACAACCTATTGTATTTTAATGTTTGTTATAGCGGTGAAGAATCAAGCACTGCGACTTCGGAAGCGGCTTCAGAGAAGAAAGAAGGTACGGAGCCGCCGACCGAGCGACGTCGACCGCCTCGCAAGTCGGAGATAGTGAACAAGTGGTCGCATGACAAGTACAATGAGAATGAACAGGTTTGTTGAATATACACTTTATTACTGAGTTGTGAAGGTTGAAAATGTGTTGTTGGTTGGGGTTGGGGGTAGGTTTCTGTGCTGTTTGCTACCTATATTACCCTCCAAAGGGGTAAAGGCGTGCCTTTAAAAACTTTAAAACAGTTTCATTGTTAGGAGTTCATTTACTACTTCACTAATGTCGAAACAACTGACTCGTTGGCCGAGTGGTCGCAAATGCGATTGCCGGACAAGGGGTCTCGAGTTCGATTCCCGGGTCGGGCAAAGTATTACTGTTTTTTTAAATCTCAGTATTAAAGAAATATAAACAAATATTTCTTTCATTATTTAATGATTAAAAAATCTATATTTCTTCTGTTATACTATTACAGATGCCGAAGTCCCGTGACGAGCTGGTGGCTATCTACGGCTACGACATTCGAAATGAGGATGCGCCTCCTCACGCGAGACGCAACAGACGATATGGGTGAATATCCACTATAATACCTACTTTAACCAAATTCGAAACGCAAAAGCGTTTAGTAGATGGCGCTAATGATGTTTAAAGTCATACCTTAATGGTTTTGTACATTTTGTCAAGGATAGGGCAAGACTAGTGACTATACAATCTTAATTAATTGGAGAAGTAACTTAACTAAAAGAAATACTTCGGTGTCTGTTAATGTAAGTTTTCACAGAAACTTACATTATACATCGTGAAACATTATACTACTATTGGTACACATTTCGTACGAAAAATAAGTCAAATCATCCGTTAGTAATATTACCTCTATGTCCTGCATGAGCGATCTATAAGCGAATGCGATTATGAAGCGGTGACACGCTAATGCAATGCGATGAGGTTCGACGCGGCGGCTATGTGTTACGTGCATGCGAATTGTTTCGCTTTATTTTTGTTTCCGACATTATAAACAAAAAACATTATAGCATCGTTTCCAAATATGACAGTTCGCGGAAAAATATAAAACCAACTGATCGCGTTCGCATCATTTCGCATCCCAAGGGCGCATTGTCACGGAGGAGACTTCAATAGGTTTCGACAGTTTGTTGTTTTCGCGCCGCACCGCTCCGCATTCGCTCCTAGACCGCTCACGCAGGACGTAACGTAACAGAAATTAGATTAGATATTGTAAAACAGGTCACTAACAAATATTAATATACTACAAATATTTAAAAATGTAGCAAACAAATATTAATTTTCTACAAATACAAGGTGTAATCGGAACGCTTTCGAAAACGCACAGAGGGCCAAGCACGAATAACTATCGCATTCGTATCGTAACAGTATCGAGCGAATTAAGCGTTCTGATTGGTTGGTTCACTTGAGCCGGCCAATCAGAGCGCCGAACGCGCTCGATACTATTACGTTACGAATGCGATCGTTATTCGTGCTAGGCACTCAGGTGATAGTACCTATAGTAAAATACGATAGCTACATTTTCAAAACTTTAAGAATAATTTTTTTACTGGACAAGCCGCTTAATATTCCGCCGCCTAGTGGTAAGCAATTGGCGTCGCCCATGGACACCAGGAACATCAGATGCGTTACAAGTGCGTTACCGGCCTTTTGGGGATTATTAATTTGAGAAATGTTGGGGATTCAGGAATTGGGGCGGGGTAGCTAATCCCTCCGGTCGAGCCGGCCCATTCGTGCAGAAGTAACTAAAAACTGTGAAAATAGGCTGCGTTTCGTTTACACCTTGTATTTTAAAGTGTAGCAAGTACGCTTCTGGGATCGAATCCCGCAATAAACATATTAAACGTATATGTGATCTTGTAGTGTACAAACGTTAATTAAAATTAAAGGAATTTTGTTTAGTAATAAATTGTATAAATCTAACATGAATGTTTCATCATGCATTGCAATATGGAGGTATCGACACTCGTGGCGGTTAGTGGAACCTGTGTCTGCATGCTTTGATGTTGTATCTATATTTATTCTGTTTATTTATTTAATTTAAACTGAATACTGCCTCGTTGGCCGAGTGGTCGCAAGGGCGACTGCCGGGCAAGGGGTCTCGGGTTCGATTCCCGGGTCGGGCAAAGTATTACTGGGTTTTTTAAAAATTCTCAGTAGTAGCAGTAATCTGGAATTGTACCCGGTATATGGCAATAGGCTCACCCCCTATTACATGGGACTCATAATATAAATAGTGAAAAGTGGGTGTTACATTGTACAGTGGCATAATGTGCACCTCTGCCTATCCCTTCGGGGATAAAAGGCGTGATGTGTTTAAACTGAATATTTAGCTTAAAGTTTGTAGTTATGCTGTAATATTATTTTGTTTCGAAATTAATATTCGGATTTGTATATTAGAGGCAAGTTATAGGTCCCTACTTTTCTGCATGTGTTTATTTAGACAAACTGCTTTTTACGTATCGATCACAAAGAATTTACTAACTTTGCATGCCAATTCTTATGTCTTTGGTGGAAAAATAAAATGCTTTATACAGCTTCTAGACTGTTAAACTTGATGTCGTAAGTAAATAATAAGAAGCAAGATAAGAAGATCATATAGAGATATGAGATAGTTTTAATCCTTACTAATATTATAAATCGGAAAGTGAGTTTGTTTGTTTGTTCCACTTTCACGCTGTAACTACTTAACCGATTGCTTTGAATTTTTGCAGACGTGAAATTAGAAGTCTGGATTAAATAATATTCTCGAAGTAAAACGAAATTATTGGTATAGATGGCGCTGTGTGTATTGGTTAATGTCACATAGGCTACTTTTTATCCTTTTGTGACGCGAGCGAAGCCGCGGGTAAAAGCTAGTTCTTTATACAAATGTTTAAACATATTCACAAATCAAATACAACATTACAATAACCTAACATAACAGGCACGGTTGGTGCGGTGGCTGGGCAACTGGCTGCCGTGCAACGTGTCGGCGGTTCGATTCTCACACGGATCAACTCTTTGTGTAATCCACAAATTGTGATTTCGGGTCTGGGTGTCATGTGTATGTTTATTTGTAAACACACCCACGACATAGGAGAAAATCCAAGTATGGGACAATGTTTGTTAAAAAAAATAACCTTTAAACCCTTCTAATCATCCGATTCCTCCCTAGACGCGGCCCCAACAAGTACACCCGTACGTGGGAGGACGAGGAGGCGTACAGGCGCCAGTCCGCCGCGCAACAACTGCCGCGGAAACCACCCACTGCTGAGGACTTCCCTGAACTTGATGGTCGCAGACATGGGTATGTTATATGACTGACATGAATATAATAATTGGTCTTGATGACAATTTCAGAATTGATGTAAGTTTTTAAGAGAACTGCCTCGTTGGCCGACTGGTCGCAAGTGCGACTGCCGGGCAAGGGGTATCGGGTTCGATTCCCGGGTCGGGCAAAGTACTACTGGGTTTTTTAAACAATCTCAGTGGTAGCACGGAGTCTGGAATTGTGCCCGGTATATGGCAATAGGCTCACTCCCTATTACATGGGACTCATAACATAAATAGTGAAAAGTGGGTGTTACATTGAACAGTGGCATTAACTGCCGTAATGTGCACCTCTGCCTACCCCTTCGGGGATAAAAAGGCGTGATGTTATGTTATGTTTTTAAGAGAAACTTAATGGAAATATTGATGTAACCTTTTTATTGATGTAACCTATTTTCGCATAATCCAAAGATTATGCGAAAATTAGATTACCTATTTTAGTTTTAACCAGCTTCTTCCAAGCAGTTTCAGCCGCTTTGCTCGGTTCCTATTCATCGTATCGTGATGTTTTGTTGCCTATAGTCTTCCTCGATATTAAAAAAAACAACGTTCAACGTTCGGTAAAGTATGGCTTATACTTTCAACGCCTGTTTCATTATCTTGTAATAGTAATCAAATTCATATCGAAATAGATTGAAAGTCCGAAAGAGATGGCAGAAACTGAAGGAGGCCTACACAGAGTAGAAAAAGGCTAAAGAAGAAGATTACTCAAATTATATAATAATCATTTTTTCTCTCACCAGCAAACCGCGTCCTCGCCCTCGCTCCAAGTCTCAGCCGTCTGCCAACGAGCCGGTTGAGAACGGCGGTCAGCTTCGTCGCAACGCCTCAATAAAATCTACCAAGAAGCCGGCAGTGAAACAAGGGTCTGGTCGCATTCCAGTCAAGCCTGCAAATAAAACACCTAATAAGAGAGAAGAGAAGATGCCGGCTATAGAAAACCTGACTATCACTGCTAATGTGAACAACAATAATAACAAGTAAGGCTTTTGTTTACTACGCATAATTATGATATAGATTTTCTTGGGTTTTTTTATGGCATAAGCCGGTAAACGAGCAGACGGATCACCTGATGGTAAGCAATCGGCGTCGCCCATGGACACCTGGAACACCAGAGGCGTTACAAGTGCGTTACCGGCTTTTTTGGGGATTAGGAGTTTGAGGATCGATGGGGATTCAGGGATTGGGGAAGGGGAGGGTAATTGGTCTAAAAAGGGCCTATTTTTAGTCGTTCAATATTTTACAACAATTGTATTTGGTTGTACATGTTGTTATGGACTCAATATCTGTATAGAACAGCTTTTTCATAATGCAATAGCTACTAACAGTAAAACTTAAGATTTTAACACGTTAAACGACATGGGGGTCACCGGTGACAGGCGTTAGCGGAGGATTTACCTTCAACAGTTTTTTATTGGCAGTCAAAGTCATAACAATGATGTTTTAACTCGTACACAATGACCTGATTTTTTGGCACAAAAGTAGTCTCTAAACATCGGAAATAAGATATATAATGTGTGTCCGTTTTCTAATTCTAAGCCCCACCAATTTTCATCCAAATCGATTGTGCCGTTCTTGAGTTATAAATAGTGTTTTTGATTGTGTATAAACGACACAGATATGAAATCAAGTTATAATTTCCAGTCAAGGTCAGGCCCCGCGCAAGGTGAACGCGACGGTAGCGCAGCAGAGACCGGTGCCCACTGACCAGGGAAGGAAGAAGCCTAACGCTAATGCACAGGTTCGTAAACATTTCTAAGATAAGGAACAATCTTTGATTAATTTACATGTACATATAAACTAAATAACTAGGGCTAAGATAAATATAAACTAAAGTATTTACAAATAAAATTATCATAAGTAATATAGAAAAATATGATAGGAAAAAAAAACAAGAAAAACTAACTTAAAGCATCAAAAACATTATCGTTATCATTGTCCTGAGGTAAAGTACCCAAAAGACTGGCAGCATTGCCACGTTGGATGGCTTGAGATTCTCGGCAGCACCAGCTCGACCCGCTGACACCTTTGACTGTTTTATAAATGTAGGGCCTCTTGTTGCCTAAAAAAGAGAAGAAATTGCACTAAATTGCGTTTGCTTATTGTTCATGGTGGAGGCCTTTGTTCAGCAGTCCACGTCTTCTGGCTCATGATGATGATATGTTTGCTCCAAATTTCTATTACCTTGCAATCAAGTGTTGTTCTATCTGTCAATTTTGTTTTTACTATGTAAAAACACTATTTTGTTGAATAAATAGTAGTCGCAGTACTCAAAATCGATCTTGAGTCCAAATATTTAATCCTAATGCATTTGTGTAGTAATTAAATATTTTCAACTGAAAACTTCCACCTCATTAGGCCACGAAGATACTGTTTAAACACTGAAACTGCCATAAATATCTTCTAAATTAAAAATATGAATAAAAGGTATGTAAGAATCGTAGTAATTGGCGTTCCTTAGTCTCTACCCCCATTGGAGACAGGCGTGAGTTATGTATGTATGTATTAAAAATATGATAATATATAAAGTATTGTTTTATACAGCCTCAGCCGCACCCCAACCCCCCTCGCACGAAGTCTCCCCCCACTACGGCCGCGCCACAGTCCGCCCAACAACAGAAGGCAAACAACCAACAACAACAACAGACCACTGCAGGTGAGCTCAAATACGTTTAAAAGCTTATTATCTTGTTCGCGTACCTTATATCTCTGAATCAATGGAAACTATTTTAAAGAACTAAGTGTGGGAGAGCCATGCTTCGGCACGAATGGGCCGGCTCGACCGGAGTGATACCACGGCCGAGCAGAAAACCAACGTGAAGCAACGCTTGCGTTGTGTTTCGTCGTGTGAGTGAGGTTACCGGAGGCCCAATTTATTTATTTTTTGTATTACAGCTTAATAGGTCACTGTAACTGTATAATGAGGTTACTCGACAAGTATCAAGCCACGCTTGGGGCTCATAGTCATACTCATAACCAGTTTTACGCAACAAACGATGTGACGAATGTCGTACATATTTTTTTTAAAATTAAATTGTTGCTTTCATATTTTGTTTTTCTTTGTGTCATAGATGCGTTTGCAAATATAAAAATATGTAAATTAACTAAAAAACGCGGGTTACTCACGTAAATATACTGAGAAAAGTCCCACTAGTTTCAAGCTACAGAGGGCGCAGCGTGCGCGGTGGCGGCTATGTCTACTACTGAGTAGGCACCGTTAACTGAATGACGATAGTTATTAATATAAAAATATGTTTTTTAGGCGGTGGTGGCAGTAAACGTTACAGTAGCTTGCGCCAGCGTCCTCTAGCGGACTCGTACACTCCGCAGCAACAGCCGCCGGCGCAGCAACCGACGCAGCAACCCGCGCAGCAACAGACGCAGCAACAGACACAGCAACAGTCGCAGCAACAACAACCTCATAGATATCACGCAGGTATGGCGTATTTAGTGGTGGATAGTTTGCAAATACAAAAAGGTCTATAAACATGCTTTTTCACGCTATTATTGTAAGCTTTTACAGGTTTTCAGGAATGATGTGTATACTTAATTGAATAATTGCTTACGGTCTTGTTCATAAAAATGTACTGTTTTTAGCTATGGAATGTTTTATCACATTAATTATCACTTGCTATACTCTAAAGACAATGAAATACTGTCTTTTTCTGCCTGTCTTATTACTGAAGTTCATCTTGTATTTCCATTCTCCAATGAATAGCGCTTTCTTCTATTGTCCAGTAATATTTACTCAGTACTTATCCATTTTGACATATTTTCATATAATTTTTCACAATAAAACGAAGAAAAGGATATGTCAGCTTATCGTAAACTTTTACACCTGTGTGTGATATTTTGACATGTCACATGTGACATGTGATTTGTCACACAAACCATAGTCTTTATGACTGAAATTAATAATTGATCTTAATGAAAAATCGCTAATTGCGATAGATTTAAACATAAATTCAATAGAACTATTGTTGACGAAAGATTTAGATTGAAGTCGATTATATTAATTCGGCTATTAGCTTCCTTCTCTCATATATCTGTCACATATAGTTTTAAAGTATTCCATAGCTAAAACACATTAGTTTACGGATAAGCTCTATATGTACGAGTCGCTATGTGGGCAGGTCCGGGCGAGTTCGTGGGCGGCAGTGCGCACGGCGCGGCACAGACTCACGCGCACCCGCAACACATGATACACCAGGTAAATACACACCTACAACGCTTATATATAATTATTAATTGGTATATGTATTTCGTAAAGCTATTGGTGGTTTTGGGAGCACTTTTGAGACAAAGTAATGGACAAAAGTTCTATAAAATTATAATTAAAATAATATTTTCATCTACCAAGCCCGGTACGAGTTCCGTTTATGGCTAACGAGATCAAAAGAAAACTTAGTATTACATTTCAATTTATCGAAACGAGACCGCGTTCGACGCTCTGATTGGTTGGTTCATTGGAGCTGGCCAATCAGAGTGTCGAACGTGGTCTCGATTCGATCTCGTTTAACGTAAAATAGATTTTTACTAAGCCCTCTGAATAGAATATTCAAGTTCGATTGCTACTTCCATTTTATGATTACTAGTATAGAATTCAGTTCGCCTCATGTAAATCAACTTAATAGTTTTTAATGGACCCATTCATCTTGTTGGAAGATAACACACAGTCCAAATTACTGGCTGTAGAAAAATATTAGGCATCTAATTACTCTAGCGATCTTCTACATGCTAAGAAAGGGTTTTCCAATGTCCTATGGAAATGGTAAATATCTATGCTGTATAATGGGTTATGGGTCTACTACAATTTTAATATCCTATAAGCTTGTCTAATAGCTAAATTCAATAACCTGTTTCGATAGACTTGTCTACTAGAGCTAAAATTTTGATAAAAATAAGCTTTGGCACCGGATTGAAGCCACGGTTTCAAAGAAATTAGACATGAAACTCACTCACTCACAAATAACCAAATACCCCCTAAAACGTACTTTTAATCGTCACCTTTGACTTAATTTACTGCACGGTTGGTGCAGTGGCTGGGCTAAGGTTGCCGCGCAACGTGTCGCGGTTTCGATTCTCACACGGAACAACTCTTTGTGTGATCTACAGATTGTTGTTCCGAGTCTGGGTGTCATGTGTATGTGATATTGTATGTTTGTAAACGCACCCACGACACAGGAGGAAATCCTAGTGTGGGGTACAATTCTACTTTTCTTTAAAGAAAAAATAATAAGATAAATAAATTCCCCTGGCCTTATAGATGTTCATTAGCGTAGCCGATTGCTTACCATCAGATATTCTAGTTGCTAATTTGTCTCGAGAAATGTAAACGCTTAGATCTAGTAGACATATCTACCGATACGACAGACAGGTCATTGAGCTTGGTCTATTAGCATGTAGTATAATCCCCCCTCCCCCAGCAGGTGCTGGTGGGGCGCGGGTCCCCCCCCGCGCACGGGCTGCCCGCCCCGCCGCCGCACGCCCAGCACGCGCAACAGGTAGCGGATACTGTGCTTACTTGTTGAACGGGATTTCTTTGTAACTAGCTTTCGCTTGGTTGAGAAGGAACATGGTATCAGGGTACTAATAATTATGGTGAACCGTCGAAAGGTGTAAGAAATGACGTCATCGTCTAAATTTGTTTGTTGATTATCTGCTTTTATTTTTTTATTATGAAATGGTAAATAAATCGACTATTTAGAATGCCTATAGATGTACTATATTATAATTAAATATACGGTTTATTCTCGTGAACATTGCACATAACAGTCCCGGTGTAACTTGAAACCGGTTGAGCTTTTCTCCAACAGTTCTCATAAGTTACTATATTACAGTTGATAATTTATGTCTTGTGATAGTTATTATGCAAAAATAGAAACAAAAACATACCGGCCGAATGGAGAACCTACTTTTTGGGAAGTCGGTTAAAAAAAGGTGTGACGATACTTATCACTTACCACTTTTCGATTAGATTGGCGATATATTAAAGAAGGGCCAAATTAAAAGTACCCTTAACCGACGAGCATGCATAAAAATACTGATTGTTGATGAAGCGAAAGAGGTACCTATGTAAAAATCGTAGCAATAGGGTAGTTTCCTAAATTTTATTTTAATGTCCGTCTGGTAAATTAATTTAAAACTTTAAACACGTATTTTTTCTTTTCTCACAAAATTAAATACTTTCCACGATATATTATTAATTTGAAATATCATGTGACGTCACAGCGTGCCACATTTTGTAGCACGTTATGACGTAACGACCTCCCACTCCTAAACTTAGCGCCATTTTATCTAAGTATTGCAACTTAATACGAGAAAATAAAAAAATACGTGTGTAATATTTTTTCATTATCTAACTGGACCGGACTAATTAGATTTGAAATTTTGATACCCTGGAAACTACCCAATTGGGAGGCAGGCATGAGGATATACAGGGTGTTGTTTTAAAGCCGCGTCATTTTCTAGGAGGTAACTCGGCTATCGATTCTGAGTCCGAATCAATAAAAGAAATTGTAGGTAAATATTTATCATTTTCCTGAAATTACGGAAATCCGTAAGTGCGAACTACACGCCGCCGTCTTATAACTAGTTTTTATAACGCGCCTTAACACACACAAACTCAAACACGTAATTGCTATTATTCCTAATTCCATAAACTCCAATAAGGAACATTGCTGTCGCTGATTCTGAAATACTGTCGAACTTAAACGATTAATTATAGCCGTATTTTTAACTATTGGCCCGAAACTTTCTATTACATTGAACCTATATGACTTCTGTGACATGCCCCCGAGAAATGACACGGTTTCAAAACTATACCTTGTATACGTGTGTATACCCCCGGAGTGCTACAAGTGACCCCGTCCCAGGTCCGGCTGGGCCTGCTGGAGCAGCCGCCGCTGGCGCCAGTCCCGCACCCACACCACAACATGCATAACTTGCCCGCCACACACTCTATGGGTACGTATACATACTTCTTACTTATTATCTTTAAATAACTTATGATCGTTTTCATCAACCACCCTTAAACCATCTCTTAACTATAAGATTCTTAGCGTGACGTCGCAAATGATTGCACAGTTGGCGCGGTAACTGCGCAAGCGGCTACCATTCAATGTGTAGCGGATTCGATTCCCGCACGGAACAACTCTGTGTGATCCACAAATTGTTGTTTCGGGTTTGGGTGTGTGATATTGTATGTTTGTAAACTCACCCACGATACGGGAGAAAATCCTAGTGTAGGGAGTTTAAAAAAAATGGAAACAAAACTAACCCCTTACCTGGACTGTTAGGTGTCATTTAAAGATCGGCTAAAATGGTTAGTCAAAATTACGTTAAATGATGCTTATCTTAGGGCTAAGATATAGCCTTTACATATCCTAGGTTAGGGATTCCTTGAAATTTAGTGGAAGTTGGTGAAAACGGACATTACATTATACTTTTGGCGATTTCAAACGTATAATTAGAAATTATAAGCCAAAGTGTCCTAACGATGTTTTCCTTCACCGTTTGTCAATGGTGTCTAAATAATTTTAGAAAGTACATATAACTCGGACAAAGTCACATTGGTACTTGCCGTTGGCAGGTTTCGAATTTTCGACGTTGCTAAAGTTAGATTTAACGTTTTCTGGTATTGTTTGTTTGTTTATAACTTTATAGTATGTATATGTATTACAAATTTTGTGTTCCGTAGGTCAAATACAACCAGCACAAGGATACGCCCCACCTGCCATGATGCCCGCTCAGTATATGCAAGTAAGTTCAATAAAATAAAATTATAAATAGATACAAAGACAATTTTTGTGGCTAGGTTCAACGCTATATTGGTTTCTGGTGACCGTCCTTTGCGAAGGATTTCTTCACAGAAAACCGACGTGAAGCAACGCTTGCGTTGTATTTCGTCGTGTGAGTGAGATTACCGGAGGCCCAATTACCCCCCCTTCCCCAATCTCTGAATCCCCAACGATCCTCAAACTACTAAACCCCAAAAGGCCGGTAACGCTGAGAATATTTTTTCACTGGTTTATGTTGATTATGTTATGAATTCTGTTTTTTTGAGATACGTGATAAAACCTGTCGAATATCCTAACACACAGTAGTGACTATTACGAAGATCTTGACGGTTATAATATATTCCTTTTATCTTGCTTACAGCAAAGCAACAGTGGCGCAGTGTTCGGTGGTGCGATGTTCCCGGCGGGCACTCACGCCCCGCCTCACGCCCCTCACGCCCCGCCCCACGCTCCTCACGCTCCGCCCCACGCCCCGCCTCACGCTCCCCACGCCCCGCCTCATGCCACCTATCAGCATCAAATATACACGCCGCACCATAATTATGTAAGTATATTCTTAACTAGCTATTTGCGCGCGGTTTCACCCACTCTGCTCGGCTCCTATTGGTCGTAGCGAGATGATTTCTCGATAAATAGACTATCCAACACAAAAATAATTATTTAATTTAAATCAGTAGTTTCGGAGATTAGCGCGTTCCAACAAACAAACAACAAAAATTTCAGCTTTTTAATATTAGTATAGATTATGACCGATTTTTGCATAGAATGAGTGCAATGCTTTAGTTTTGTAAGTACAGCAACTGTTTTGTGATATCAAACAGGTAAAAAGAATACGTGAAAAACTAAAATCGAAAACGACTTCGAACCAATAGTAGTGCAAAAATGACGAAGCGAGTTTGAATAACGAACGCGCAGTTTTTGAGTCGCGTTTAGTAACGATCCAAGTGTCATTGGTAAATGACTATCATTTTCAGAGTTGTGTGAATGTTTTTTTAAGTTAATTTCGATTCTTTTATTACTGAATTGTTTTGCCACGAGAACATAATGACTTAAAGTACAACATTGTATCAATGACGACGTGATAAAGCGAGTTTCTAACGTATATCGTATGTATGTAGGCGGGCGGAGTGACGTACTACAACTGCGCGGAGCAGGAGGCGGCGCACAGCGCGCGCGCGCAGCGACGGCCCACCGCCGCCATACCCATCGTCAGCCCGCACCACGCAGACAGGTACTGGGACATTATAGTTATAGAGAAGCCATTGGATAATCCCCCCTTTAAAAAAAAGTATATGGATCCCTTTGTGAACTACCTACAGTATATATTTCTACTTACCGAAACTTCACGCCCTTTTATCCCCAAAAGAGTACACCACAGATGGGGCCCAATAGGGCCGATGCCGATTCGGAGTCGCGGAGAACCTAACGGATAACCGGGGCTCCGGCTCGACGTGCAGGAGAAGGAACGGGGTGGTTTTTAGTCAGTAAGAGTCTGACACTCCCTTCCGCCTCACCCAGGCGGAAGCAGTCATTCGATGATTTTCCCCCCTTAAAAAAAAAAATCCCCAAAAGAGTAGGCAGAGGTGCACATTACTGCAATTAATGCCACTGTATAATGTAACACCCACTTTTTAACAATTTATGTTATGAGTCTCATGTATAGAGGGTGAGCGTATTGTCATATACCGGGCGCAATTCCAGACTCCGTGCTACTACTGAGATTAAAAAAAAAACCAGTAGTACTTTGCCCGACCCGGTAATCAAACTCTGCCTGGCAGTAGCACTTGCGGCTGTAAGTGGCTACTCGCCCAACGAGGCAGCTATAAATATTAACTGTATATATTTATTTTCCAGCAGGCCAGCGAATTCATCTGAAAAGGACAATATAGACAGGATCGTGGAGAACATGTTCGTGAGGAAACCCTGGCCAGCGACACATGGAGCTGGTGAGTCTTACATTTGAATATGCAATATCTTATTACAAGCAACTTTAGGTCCTTTTTTGATTACAAATAAACCTTTTTGGTCTGAAGATTGCACGATTAAACGCGGACGTTTTAGTCACAAGTTTTTTTTTAATGCATTGAGCCACCATGATTGCTGTTATAATTTTATTTGCCTATGATTGAGTTTTTAACCGCCTATCCAATAGGGTAGTTTCCTAAATTTTATTTTAATGTCCGTCTGATACATTAATTTAAAACTTTAGACACGTAATTTTTATTTTCTCACAAAATTAAATACATACGACGATATATTAATTTGAAATATCGTGTGACGTCACAGCGTGCCACATTTTGTAGCACGTTATGACGTAACGACCTCCCACTCCTAAACTTAGCGCCATTTTATCTAAGTATTGCAACTTAAGACGAGAAAATAAAAAAATACGTGTCTAATATTTTTTCATTATCTACTACTCATGATTTAACATCACGCCTTTTATCCCCGAAGGGGTAGGCAAAGGTGCACATTATGCCACTGTACAATATAACACCCACTTTTCACTATTTATGTTATGAGTCTCATGTAATAGGGGGTGAGCCTATTTCCAAATACCGGGCACAATTCCAGACTCCTTGCTACTACTGAGAATTTTATGAAAAAAACTCAGTAATAATATGCCTGATCCGGGAATCGAACCCGAGACCCTTTGCCCGGCAGTCGCACTTGCGACCAGTAGGTCAACGAGGCAGTCCCAATTCATTTTTAACCGACTTCAATAAAAGTTCAATTACTGTACCAATTAAAGTAAAGTTATTTTAATTGGTTTTTGTTCTCAACCGTTGTAACTGTAATAAATAAATAAATAAAAGGAGGAGGTTCTATAACTACTCATTTTTCTGGTAAAGATTTGCTCTGGGCGAAGTTGTCGTTGCAAGCGTGGCTTCATTCTCGCATGCAATAGAAATAGTTTGGTGGCAGCTTATGGAAGAATTACTTCGGGATAGAAGATCCCATTTTAAGTTGAACCTATTTTTATTTTACTGTTAGTATTGTTCCTCTTTGTAGTAATACACGGTGGAAATATGTAATGCCACCTGAACGGGAAGTACTCTTAACACTGCAGATAGAAAATATAAATCAAAGAAAAAATTCTTTTAATTTTTAAAAGAAACAAAACTGCATTTATACCTTTAAATTTTTTTTTTCCTTACACGGTATTCGAACCGACTAAAATGTATCAAAGTTTGTACCCTGTACTTTTATTGTATCGATCGTTACGGTCAATAAGGATGAAATCTCTCTAACAAACTTCATAAGTTAAGAGTACTTCCCTTTCAGGTGGCATTATAAAATTCCACCCTGTATGTATGTAGATTTGGTAGGAAACCTGTCATTTTATTCGTCATGTAGGCGTATTTTTTATTTGATAGTGTATCTCATATAGTTTTAGAAATTGTTCATAGATTATAGTAGAACTAGCGACCCGCCCCGGCTTAGCACGGGTGCAATATGCATGTATTAGACTTATAAACCTTCCTTAAGAATCAGTCTATCTATTAAAGAAAACCGCATCAAAATCCGTTGCATAGTTTTAAAGATTTAAGCATACATAGGGACAGACAGACGGCGGAAAGCGACTTTGTTTTATACTATGTAGTGATACGATATCATGTACTCAAACAGAGGTCTTAGTACGAATTTCTTTTACGTTTAAAGTAATCAAAACGAGATTGCGTTCGCCGTTATGAGTGCCAAGCACGAATAACTATCGCATTCGTATCGTAACAGTATCGAGCGAGTTAAGCGATCTGATTGGTTGGTTCACTTGAGCTGGCCAATCAGGAGCGCCGAACGCACTCGATACTATTACGTTACGAATGCGATAGTTATTCGTGCTTGACACTCTGGTTGCTTGGTATATTGGAGCCGGCCAATCAGAGCCCCGATCGTGTACTCGTAAATCAAACTCGTACTAAGGCCTCAGATCTTAAGGGTGTTACTTCGAGAAGCAAGCGAGCCTGACTTCACTGACAGACGGACGGACAATTCAATTTTTGACGTTTTAAAAGAACCCAATTAAATGTCGATTGAAATAAATGCTTTGACTTTGACATTGATACTTGAACTATTCCTTAAACTGTCAAACACCAAGCGGTCACCGGTGACTGAAACCTATTGTTCTTTAATTGTGGCTATAATGACGGTACTCAAAGAGTCACTCAAAGGCAACACTGTGAAAGTTGTCTAAATCATATATAATTCGCGCTTCAAATGTTAGTATTCATTAAAAACTTTTTCGAAGCATCCTTATATATTGCTCCTTCATTAAGTAATGCAAGTTTATTTTTCTATACCACAGATTCAAAAGAAAAACAGCCAGAAAATCGCAGTTCTCAGGAACCACAAAGCAAAGAGTCATCTCAACCGAACAGTCTAACCTCCAGCTCAATCTCCACCGACTCCAAACCTTCCGAAAGCAGAGAAGAGAAGGAGAAAGTGGAAGAAGTGAGAGAAGAAGAGAAGAAGGAGAAGAAAGAGTCAGTAGAGCCAGTTGTCCCACAAGAAAGTATAGCGACAGATGCCTGACTGGTAAGAATTAAGTTGTATGAATGCTACCAAGCGAAGTACTACAGTAAAAGGTAAATGTTTATACACGATCACGCTTATAGGTATTGGTCTCTAACCGACTAAGAAACCATTACAAAAAAGCCTTTTAACCTAAATTAATTACATACGTTTAGCAGTTTACTCGTGATGCTGTTTGACAAGGGAACTCGACTAGTTACAAGCTACGCTTGGGGCTCATAATCATGAACAGCATTTAGGTACATTATGTTATGGGTTTTCATATACCGGGAACAATTTCAGATTCCAGACTACAGAAAAACTTGGAACAAAAATCCTTGAACAATTCTCATTTATTGACAATATTTTTAGCGTATAATCTCTAGGAGTAGGTAAAAATATTCTAAAATCCATTTAGAGTCAATTCTGTGACTAAACGATTAATCGACTAAATAATAAATCGATTACTAAACGTCATTCGAGTTGACTAAACTCATAATCATTTACTATAAGTGTAAAATTAAGTCTTGTAAATTTTAATCGTAATTATATAATAGAGAAATTATATAATTAAAATTGTTATGCGCTAAGAAGTCTATAGAAGTTGTTAATTAAGGATCAAATTATAAAAAAATCATCCGAACAATAGAAACCACAAAGTATTTTTATAGCCTCAATAAAAGCTACAGTTGCCATCACTAGATGGCGCTAATATAAATTGAGTTCTGATTCACCAATAGCGTCATCAAACTGTCATTGAATGTTTGACAGCTAACCTAACCTAACCTACGCGATGACGTTTATTCTCTCTCTCTCTCTCTTTCTCTCTCTCTCTGATTGGCCATCAATCAGGGTGACAACGGTACTCCGCGTTCTGTTGATTACAGGCCAATACCTAAAATATATCATCTGTAGGCCTAGCTTATTAAAGTTAGGTATCAAAATAATATAGTTAGTTAAAAGATATATGAAGCGTGATCGTCTAAAATATCTAAATTAATGTAGTTTTTTCAAATTATGTACTACCACTTGGCTGTGTTTAGATCTGTGCGGTTGTAAAAATAATCTATGAATAAATTAGAATTCAATAATTGTGTTTTATGACTTACTAACTCTTTGACTAGGTAACTCGACTAGTTTCAAGCTACATTAAGGGCTCATATTCATGAGCTCCATTGCGCGATAAACGTGAACCTAGTCGAGTTACTGTATCAGACAGTTACGTGAGTAAGACATAAAACATAATTATATAATAATATTCATTAGGAAAACTTACGGCTAGTCTTAATAACATTTTATCGGTAGATTTGGTAACTAAAGATATTTTAATACAGGGTGTAAACGAACCGGTCCCGAGACGCTGAAAAAAAAGTAATTGTTTTTACAATTTTAATCGTTATTCAAGCAATATAAGCGTTGAGCAGTTGATTACAACTCTTCATCATCATCATCAGCTTATAAATGCCCACTGCTAAGCAAAGCCTCTTCTCACACGGAGAAGGTTAGAGCATTAATCACCACGCTGTGCTCAATGCGGGTTGGCGATTTCCTTACGATGTTTTCCTTCACCGTTTGTCAGTGGTGTATAAATAATCTTAGAATGCATATAACTCGGAAAAAGTCACATTGGTACTTGTCTTTGAGAGGTTTCGAACCCGCACGTGCATAAGAAGCAGGTGTCTTCAACCTCCGGGCCACCACGACAGCACGACAGTAGTGATTACAACTATTATTACATATAAAAAAAATATTTCTTACTTTTATAAAAATAAAACTTGATTGTGACCATCATCTGTCGGCGTTTTTCGGGAGCGTTTCGTTTCCCTGTTTATCTTCCTATATTAATATTTTGTCTCTAGTAACCATGTCTACCGAGAGATGGAGTTACTGAGTCTGTCCGTTAGGTATAGGTCACACTTTACAGAAATTTTACTCAATAATGGTAGCTTGGTTGTTTCATCATGTTACCGGTGCGTACAGTGAGGTTACCGGTAGTCCAAAACCCTTCAAAGGTCGGCAATACATTTGTAAATTCTTTACGAATTGCGCTGAGGGCTAAATCTTAAAGAAATGTCAAAGTAATCGAAGCGAGACAGCGTTCGACGCTGTGATTGGTTGGTTCATTGGAGCCGGCCAATCACAGCGCCGAACGTGGTCTAATTTCGATTACTTTGTAATTTCTTTATAATTCTGGTCGCGTTTCACTTACGGTCGAAATTATTAATCTATCTCGATTGAAAATCTGCAATAAGGATCGAACGATTTTTGTCATTAGTTGTACGGAGTTTCATTCAAAAATCGATCTTAATTCATAGATTTTACAGTCGAAATCGTCTGTTTGTTCCCCTATTTCACAAAAATGGCTTCAGTTTTATTTTTAAAATTCAACTTCTACCTCAAACTTTGAGGTAATACTCAAGCCTTTAACTTTTTTAATAATAACATACAATTATGCCTATTTAGTTTTAATTTTTTTAAGTTATAGTTAGTTTTTAATTTAAGTTTTTTATTTGAATAAATGAGTTTCAAGTCATTATACCTATAAATGAAATTTCTATCAAGTGTGACCTATTCTTTAGTCTCTTGTTAAACCTAGCTTAGTCTCGATTTTCGTTCAAGTTTTAAGGCCAGTTTCATACTGTTATATTTTCGGCCTAAAATTTTATAATACGTACTTGTTGACAAGTCTTATGAAAATCTAGAATTGAGATTAGATTTAAGTGGATTAGCAGAATAGAAATTATTTTATCTTCATTATCATCACAAATAAAAATAAAAAACAAAAATAAATTATTTTTTACAACCAAACAGAAAACTTTAAACATTAAGAAATAAATCTTTATCCCTTTTATAAAGTAATGTTGTAATATCAACCTTATACTTATGGACTTACGGTTGGAAATTAAGCGAAGTGTAGTTGATCGTGTGTCCTTTTTAATGAATGAACACTTGCTTGGTACATGTTGTTTAATTAAATGGATATGTGTTGATGTGAAATAAATTATTTTTTATGTATCACTCAAGTGTATGTTAATCTCCCAAAATGTAGGTAGATATGAAATTTATTTGATTGGGCCGTGGCTTACAGACGTATACTATGTTTTTATAATGACTATCGTGAGACATACTTCATTAAATGAAAATCGCGGGTTACGTGAATATAGGTACTGAGAAATGGTCTACTAGTTTCGAAACACAGATGGCGCAGCGTGCGCGGTCGTGGCGATGTCTACTATTCAGTTAGTGGTCATCGCGATTTTTATAAACATAGTTGAACACAGCGAAGCCTGAGTAGGCTGCGCGACATCGCCGCGACCGCACACGCTGCTCATGAGTAGGGCCCCCTCTGTGGTTCGAAACTAATAGAGCTTTTCTCAGTATATTCACGGGAGTAACCCGCGATTTTTAGTTAATTTAGACGTATATTAGTTACTATTGTATAAAGCTTAGCATTGGTTTTGAAATACAATAATTTGGATTTAAAATAAATTAAAATCTCTGAATACGACCAAGATTGATTGACTTATATATTATTGACTTATTATAGTAATGTCAATCCCATACATGAAGTTTCTAGACTAGCCTCTATGCCATTAAATGTAGTTTTTCAAGTTATGTAATAATTCCGTCACTCCTTCCCCCTTCCCCCTTTCACCTTCCCATCCCCCATCTGTACCACGGCCCAAATTATGCAGAATCACGTCACATTCGCGGGTTGTATGTTGCGTGTTAAAAAAATACAATAATATTTTTTTGTTTATTTTTTTTGTCACGATCTCAGTGCTTTGTTTGTTGTATTCGCGTTTTGTTATTTCTTGTTTTATTAAATAATAATTGGTCTTTATTATTATTATTATTGGGAAATTGATGACGTCACGTAACGTTGCGTAAAACGCTTTTCGAATCATTGTTTTTAAATATGTTGTTGGGATGTGTCGCAGCGCAATAATTTTATGGAACACCAATTAGATTTATCTTGGCTTAAGTATCTATGTGTCTTCGTTCGGATAGTGTTATAAAAAACACATACAGAGAATATAAACATAAATGTTTCAACTGTATTGTGTATTCTTCATATAAATTAGAATTTGGTCCAATGAACAACAAATAATTTTAAGTCAGCCCTAACAGTTCCTTTGAATTCTCAAGCAATTGACTTTTCTCTGTATTTTTTTTTTTTACTTATAGTATCTTTTCATATCTAAAATTACCAAAAATTCAATTTTAAATGTTAATATGACAATAAAATAATGTTGAATTATAACACTATTCGAACATACTGAATGTGTGTTCTACATGATATTTTTATTAAGAAAAGTATGCGAATCAATGGAAAATTTTACAAAAAATTAGCACTGCGTTTTTGTCGTAAGTCTTATGTCGTGAATTGGAATGTCGTGTCGTATGCGAACTAAATGTCTTGTCGTGTCGTGTTTATAATGAAATCGCGTTCGAAATTCTAAATATTTTCATGTTTTGTATGAAATAAGGGCATATCATTAAATCAGAGTTGTATTACTGTGAGGATAATTATAACTTACTGTTATATTAAGGGCTTGTTTAACTACTGTAGTAGAACGGGGTGAATAGATACTAGAACAAATCCCTAATATCCATTTTCCCCGTTTTACGGTTACAAATAGGTTTTGTTAAAAATCTACTAGAGTATTAATAAAATTTATTTTTACAAAAATAGTCTCTAAATATCGGAAATAAGGTCTATAACGAATTGAGTGGAGAGAGGACACCGCTATCCTCTGAAGAATTTATAAGACATACTAATAGTTTGACATAATTATGTCATATGGAATGGAAGATACGTCAAATTATCTGACATTAAGATTAACAAATACTTGACTACACTTGACTGCATAGTTGGTGCCGCGCAACGTGTCGCGGGTTCGATTCCGGCACGGAACAACTCTTTGTATAATCCACAAATTGTTGTTCCGGATCTAGGTGTCATGTATATGTGAACTTGTATGGTTGTAAACGCACACACGACACAGGAGAGTTCCAACCAAAATAAAAAATAGTTAAACAAGCTCTTAGTATTGTAAATCTTTCATTTTGGGAAACGTTGTCGTGTTATTTTTTTTTTTATTTGGAACGAAATTACTTCATATTTTTTGTAATTTCGAATGGCTATATAAATAGACTGACTTGTTCATTAAAATCATTAAAATGTTCTTAAGTGATGTGACTATTTTCAAAATTGATCAATAAGAGCTGGCCACTGACTTTAGTTAATCTATTTGGTCGATTATTTTGACAGTTATGGCCAAGCGAACTTACTCAAAGTAATGTCAAAATGTACTGCAACAGTTAAATATAATTGTTGAACTTCTTAAAGTTTGTAATAAAAAATATAACTTGTGTACAAATCCTTACTTTGAGTAGGTCGCCTTCTGTCAAGGTTTTTCAAAATTATGAATATAATATGTTTTATGGTTCAAAAACCAATGTGTGTCAGAATACTAGTTATTATTATTTCATACAAAATTACTTCCAATTTAAATATTTGTGTTAAGAATTCTGTCTACCCACTTTTTGTATGGGTGTTAAAGTAGGCCTTAAGCACACCAAGTATAGAAAATCCCTCCATTATGACGTAACTGATTTTTAATATTTTGGAAAACAAAACAAGCAATTTTAAACCTTAGTGACTAAAAAATAAGTTGCTATTTAGTATCATTAAATTTTAAGGTAATTATAAGTACTTATACTCAAAAGTTATATTCGTAAGTTGTTTTTTAACAAAATTTCGAAGATTTTCAACTCGTTACGTTTTAATGGACGGACAGATTTATGTATAAAAATATAGTTTTAAATAATGTTGTACTCGGCTAGTCTTTTTTATAAGTATCGAACGAGTAATACCTATGACGGTTTTAAAATACTTCTTTTTATATAAATTCCTATGTTGACGTTTATTAGTGTTAGAAAATCGTCGACGTAGCCAAAATTATGGGTACTCTGTAAAAAGTAAAAAAATTGACGAAAAATATGTCTTAATTATTATTATTATTAAATAAAAATCATACAAACACGTAAACTGGCAATAACGTACGTTACACTCGAGATGAAACGATATTTTTTAATAAAACGATGAAAAAAATATGTAAAAAAATAATGCTTTTGTAAACTAAGCTGGTTATTTATTATGATAAGTAAATCTTCTAAAACTGGCATTTTTGTTTTATTTGTATGCAATTCTTGATCTCCTCTTAACTATATTCCTTTCACCGACCTATAGAAATAATATAATAACTAGCGACCCGCCCCGGTTTCGCACGGGTGCAATATGCATGTATTATACGTATAAACCTTCCTTAAGAATCATCGCATCAAAATTCGGTGCGTAGTTTGAAAGATCTAAACATACATAGTTGTCGCGCAGAACCTAACGGGTAACTGGGGCTCCGGCTCGACGTGCAGGAGAAGGAACGGGGTGGTTTTTAGTTAGTAAGAGTCTGACACTCCCTCCCGCCTCACTCTAGGCGGGGGCAGTGATTCGATGATTTCTTCTTCCCTTAAAAAAAAACATACATAGGGACAGACAGACGGCGGATAGCGACTTTGTTTTATACTATGTAGTCAGTATTGATTATTTTATAAAACAATCGGTTGTTTAAAACGTAGCCGACTCCAAACCCCTCTTTTTTGAAATCGATGGATTAATATAATAAAACCTTCATAATGTAACAAACATTTTCTGAAAACCGCATCAAAATTTGTTCAGCCATACATACACATACAGGTCAAACCGACTGCTTTTTTTTTGAAGTTAGTTAAAAAGGTTAAATAAAAAAAATAGGTTCAGGCTTAAGACATTTTTTTATTTGTTTTGTCTTCAACAAATCTTTATTTATATTACACCGATATTATTCTGTAACTACCTTTATCAGTAGATTTAAAATAAAATATAATTATCTACGTTTTACATGTAATATTATTTTTCAATATAAATAAATTATTACATTGATCATATTATCGAATGCTATTTTCTAACGTATACAGAAAACAATCGGTTATTTAATTAATTATATTAAAGTTGTCATTTTACAGGCACAGACTTTACCATACACTTACTGATTTAAATGATCTTATACAATTCTACTCCTAAAATACATGTACAAAAATATTTACTAACTTAGAACTAAAACAATTGGAATAATTGGCTATTCATCCTATAGAATTCCTATAAATAATCTGTATTAATTTTATTGTCTGTACACTATTTTACTGCAGGCAACATTGTCTATTTAGTTTGTAAAAAATGAAAATTATAGCCAAAATTATGACAACACTACACTTGGGTTTGAGCATGTATTAAATACCGGTGACTAGAAATAGACAATGTGACCAGTATTCTTTATTATTATTATTTTATATGGCAACATGGAATGATATGGATTTGATCGTTTGAACAGAGATTCTTTCAAAATCGAGATATTTACACCAACATATGTAATACTGAATCTCTACGATTTTTTTCTTGTTCTCGACAATGTATAATGATGCTATGTATAAAGTATCTATTCCTATTTTTCGTGTTCAAACTATCACTTTACGCCCGAATACTAAAAGGCTACTTAACTTTAAGTTGTACTGAAACATAGTGCTACCTCAATCATTTTACAAAAAAAAAAATGTAAATTGACAGAATTCTACTCGAGCGCGACTTAAAATTGAGTAGCGTTTGAGCATTTTGACATAAGTTGTCTTTCATGGCATTAATTAACTACAAAATTAATATACTAGAATAACCTACCACTATACACTAGCCTTAAAGCTAACATATTTCTAACAAATAACTACCTGCCTTTAAAAAGTCATATATCATAGACAATAATAAAGTTAATCAGCGGCCATTTTGAAAACAAACAAAATCGCGCCATTTTTTACGCGGGAACACAAAAGTCTAGGAACCATAATTCACACGTGATTCGTTTCAACTACACAATCTTCTTTCTTTCTTCGCTTTCTTCCCTCTAGATCAGCGTAAATGTCTTCTAAACTCCTCATTTTCGTTTCTGGAACGCAGAAGATGAGGTAAAATACGTTTGAAAGGCAGATGAAGCTGAACATCCAGAATGTTGAATGGTATCCAATCCAGACGTTTAATGGAGCGAAGAGTTTGAGTAGAGCGAAGTCAGTGCCTAAGGATATTGCCATGATGAGGGTTGCTACTGTGCCTCGGAGCTGGAAGAAAAAAAAGTAAAATTAAATAAGTTGGTAGGTGCCATTATTTACGGTTTTATTTATTGTCAATTTCAAATAAGGATGATATTAGTTATCCGTATGTGATGATGAACTCAAGATTGCCTGGTAGACGGATTCCTATCAAGAATTAGGACCGCCAATTAGATAAATAACTGGGTGAAATTAAAAAGTTCCTATTTAAATTAACTTTTTAGATTTTCGATGTAAGAAAAACTTAATAACACTGCTCGACACAGCAATCACTGCCCCTTTGTGCATCAGTCGCGTTTGCAACCAATTCTTCAACAAAAGTACTAGGCTAACATAAAATCAAAGAAAGTTGCATTACCTGGAAGTTAAACATCTCAGTCATGATGACAAACGGTAGGGGTTGTAGACCGGAGGCATCGGAGAATATGCACACACATAGCGCGACGATTGGCACCCAGCCGGGCAAAGCCACCTCTATGCTTTGAAGGTAGAACCAGACTCCTAGTAGACACATGCTGAACCCAGCTACTGCGCTTGTTACTGCTAGGAGAGGCTGGAAGGAGAAGAAAAGAAATTGAATATACACTTGAATAACAATCTTTTTACAGCAAATGTGGTAACCTAAGGCTTCCTTTACATACAAAAAGTTTGAATACCTATAACAACATAATGATAGTTTTCGCGCCAAGTACTTAGGCCTGATTGGAGGCCAAATGCCATCCTATACAGCCATCAAATTTAAAAAAGATTATTCTACCGAATTTTCTTTATTTTAAAATCGAAAACTCATCGCAAAAAGCAAGTCCTATTACATTATGTGTAATGTGCGCCTCTGCCCACGATTTCCAAGAGCATTTTTGTTTTACGTCATTATGTCAATTTTCATTTTCAACGGAAAATTTTTAGCTTAATTAAAAAAGACTGCGTCAATCGTACCATGACGAGTACCTAACTGAAATAATACCTCTATACCTAAGCGACGGTGACGATAAAACAGAAATCCCTAAATAATTGTTACTAATTAGATGGAATTATATGTTACAAGACCTCTAGAGGTACTTACTTAACAATAGGCACAGACGCCAGTAGGAAAACGTATACCTTTTCGTCTCTATTCCATTGTCAACTTTATTGTTTTGATATAAACACTAAAATCCAATGAAAAAATTGATAAATTTGTGTAGGTTGACATGTGGTTGTCTACATGAACGGTTAACTTACATAAGCGGTAATTAATTCTATGTGTGGTGTTTTCCACGTCTTGTTAGCTAAGTAGAGCCTAATTGTGGTCTCATAATTTCTGTTATTTATTGTTTTCTAGATGTTTCGTACTTCAACATCATCAACAGCCTATAAGTGTCTACTGCTGAAGGTTTCGTAATTCATCATCATCATCAACAGCCTATAAATGCTCACTGCTGAGCAAAGCCTCTTCTCACACGGAGAAGGTTTGAGCATCAATCACCACGCTTGCTCAATGCGGGTTGGCGATTACAAACTTATAATTAGAAATTATAAGCTCACGATGTTTTCCTTCACCGTCTGTCAGTGGTGTCTAGATAATCTTAGAAAGTACATATAACCCGGAAAAAGTCACATTGGTACTTGCCGATGGTAGGTTTCGAACCCGTACCCTCATGCACGAGAAGCGGGCGTCTTAAACCTCGGGGCCACCACGACTATACGTTTTCGTAATTAATTTAGACTAATTTTGTTCTATTTATTGTCTAATTATTTTGTTGCCTAGCCTTTTATAGTTATTTTTTATGTTTCTGATAACACATTTTTGACTTAATGTCTTACGATGTGTGAGTATTTTACTTTCCTATTAGATAAATCGATACCTATAAGAACTATTTTGGAAGTTCGTATGAAAAATAGGACCGATAAACATGCGCTCTGAAATAGTCCGAAGCACTAGCGATAAAACACTTGGAATTTTTAAACTCCAAACTTCTAATGGTGATTTTAGTGAAAAATATTTATTTGAACGCTAGAATTTTCTGCTATATCTTGGGTGCATTTAAAACATGCAAATTCACATACACACGACACTCAGACCCGAAACAACAATTCGAAATCACACTAAGCGTTTGCTCCGTGCGGGTATTGAACCGCTACACGTTAAGCGGCAGCCAGTCAATCAGTTACCCATCCACCGCACCAACCATCAACAGTCGAATTACATTAATACGTAACGTTACACACAGTATCCAATCTACCCATTGTTCTTAACAGTAACTATTGTAACAAGACATAAAGAAGTTGTAGGTCAACTTCTTTATTAGTTTTTATCTTCCGATATGAATGAACTTAATAAAACTATGTTCTTACATTACATATAGTAAACTACTTAGTAACTACATAGATATCATGAAACAGTCGTCTCACGTGTAAAACATATTTTATATTGTATCGCATGTCTAATTTGCCACGAGGGAGATTCGATGCCAAATATCTAAATGAAATTCTTAGACTCTTACTACATTGTCGTTTTGAGTATGTTGTAGATATGACTCGGATGTGAAAAGCAAGTCTAATTCGTGTGGTTCCATCTACTACCTTCTATTGTATCGTATTTGCAACCCATTTTGCCATAAACCTTAATTAATCAAAATCATAATGTAGGTACCCTGTAAGAAGTATTAAAATCGTTTGCGCAGTTTTTGGAGTACCACAAGCGGACAAACGCAGTCAATTTTAATCGCCTTCAAAAGAAGAATGAGGTTCTAAACTTCTGGGTATGTTTTTAGTTTTATAAATGACTATAATAATATCTTACCTTTCGTCCAGCTCTGTCAACAAGCTGACAGGCCAAAAACGACCCAATGATTTGGACAACAGCAAGCAGAATTGATTGCTTGTTTGGTGATAACGCTATGCTTGTGCTTGGGTCTTTGCCAGCTTCAGCGAAGATGTGGCTAGCGTAGACCAAGACAGCTATGCAGCCACAAAACTCTCGAGTGAGGTTCACTATTAAAGCAACCCAGAACGCCTTCACTGCGGTTTTATCGGAAACTGTGGACAAAGAAATGTAAATAATTGATCAATTTGTCCAAATACATAAATATTTGAATAATGAAGATTGTTCTAATGTGCGACCCTCAAAACATGATATCCATTGCTCGACAATCGCGCATATAACCACTTCAAACATCGAGGCAATCAGTTCGAAAACTTCGAATACTAAGAAACGAAGTCAGTGTGTCGCGAGCTGTCATACAGTAAGCACGTACAACATTTTCGTCATAAGTTATACCTATTTTATTCTTGTTACGTTGGGGTATAATGGAGGATAGTAACAGTGAAGAAGATATGAGTGACTCAGAATTTATAAAAAATGTAGAACAAGAATTTACAGAAGTTGCTGGTGAAAAGGTGATTGAAATAAGTAATGATAATTTAGCTATGAAGGCAATGAAAAGGAAGGAAAGAGAAGAAAACAATGGAAGAGAAAGTTCATTAAGTGATGAAGAGGGATTTATTACGGTTATGCGAAGAAGACCTAAAGTGTTAATCAGGAGCAATTCTTCGGAGACACAAAATGAAGTGAGGGTAGACGTAAGAAAAAACCACTTTGACTTAGAATCGGTTGATAAGTATGAGGTGTGCGTTACGGCACTGGAAGAGTTACCTAAACAAATTGCTATGGCAAAAATTTTGAGATCACATGATATTACGGGAATCGAACGTATTAAGTATAGAAATGTAAACAAAGTCTTAATTACTTTTTTTAAAAAACAGGATGCCTTGAACTTAATCAATTCCGAAAAATTTAAAGATATTGGGTATCGCTGTCAATTTACACACGAATTAAATATGATTCATGGAGTAACAAAAGGTATCGATTTAGATTTGAGTGAGGAGGAACTTATTAAAATTCTGGAATGTGATGTGAAAATATTGACCGTAAAGAGATTGAACAGATTAAATAATGAGGGTTCTTGGGTTCCAAGTGAGGCTATTAAAATATGTTTTCAAAGCAAAAAGTTGCCAGAATATGTATGTGCATATGGGTGTCGTTTTAGAGTTGACCCATATTGCTTTCCTGTTACCCAATGTACGAGATGTTGGAAATTTGGCCATATAAAGAAATTTTGCGCTAATAAAAACTCACTATGTCCCAAATGTGGTAGTACGGAGCATAATAATTGTGATATTGACTTGTTTAAGTGTTTGAATTGTCAAGGTAACCACTTTGTGCTGGAGAAAACTTGTCCTTTCTTTGTCAGAGAAAAGGAAATAAGAAAGATTATGAGTGATCAGCAAGTAACTTATCGAAAAGCACTCGAAATTTTCTCAAATGAGAAAAAGACAATGCACATGTCACAAGATAAATCCAACACGTTAGAAAACATCACTATAATAAGTCCAGTCAGCCAGAAAAGTACTTACAGCAGTATTGTGAGGAATAACTCAGTACATAATACATCATATGGTTTACACGAAGTGGAAAAAGAAGTAATAAAACGAAGCACTGAAGAAGATGTCATAAAATCAACACGAAATCCAATCAGAAAGGAAGAAAAGAGTGAAAAATTTAGAAAATTCACAGAATTCTATGGATATAATCACAGAAGATTGTGAGCCAGAAGCACAAAATGCAAAAGTGAATAAGGAACGTCATCAACAGCTCAAGGAATTTAAATTTAAACAGTTTTGGGATAAAATTAAATATATTATTATGGGTGATAGTAACATAGAAGAAAAAGTAATGTCGGTGTTAAAATTTATTTTGCAAGAAGTAAAGAACTATTTCATAGGAAAATTATGTACAAATGATATGCTAAATCAATTATTAATTTAATTAATGGATAATAGATCCAACTATATAAGAATTAATATAGTTCAATGGAATGCCCAAAGCCTACGCCCAAAAGTGGTAACATTTACAGACCTGCTATTACGAGAAGCTATACATATTGCTATTATTAGCGAAACTTGGCTAGATATTGAATCCTACATAAATATGAGTGACTACAATATATACAGAAAGGACAGGGATGATGGTTACGGTGGAGTTGCTATTGCGGTCCATAAGTCAATTCAATGTTATCAAGAGCGATTTTGTGTGAATAATACAGGAATAGAAGTAGTGAGTATAAAATTAATCAATTGCAAGGACTGGAACACGTAGTGTCGGTTTATTGCCCGTCTAGTGTTCAGACTCAAGCCTCGGACTGGGATAATATTTTTTCGAAGTTCTCCCGTAAAACTCTGGTAGCCGGGGATTTCAACGGACATCATACCAATTGGTCGGGTAAGTCAGATACACGAGGTTCACAAATTTTGGATGCTTCTTTAGATAACAATTATATATCAATTAACAACGGTGAATTTACACGAATTAAGCTAGTAAATGGCTGCCTACAGCAATCTTCCCCCGACATTTCATTTGTTTCGTCGGATGTGGCCATTAAGTTTAGGTGGTACGTCTCTAATGAAAATTTGTGTAGCGATCACCTAATTATCAGAATGTCGTTAAATATAACAAATAGTTTCACACCTATCCGCAAACGTAATTACAAAAATGCTAACTGGTATGAGTACTCGCGAAATATAGAAGAAAATATTAACTCACTTGGAAATAATACAGATGATATTCAATACATTTATGATCAGTTTATAAAGGTTATTGACACGGCAGCGAGCAAATATATACCTTTACCACGTGTTGTAATAAACCTGATAATAAATTTAAACCAAAGAGTTATTGGAAACCAGAGTTATCTCGAGTTGTCGCGCAAAGAAGGCTGGCCTTAGTTAACTTCCGACGAAACCCAACTCCTGACAATCTAACAAAATTAGAAAGTATAACACAAAAATCTCAGAACTTAATTCGAAAAGCTAAATCAGAGAGTTGGCATAAGTTTTGTGATTCCTTTAACGAAAAGGTTTCACCAGCCCACGTTTGGCAACGTATGAAATGGGTCAAAGGATTTAGACAACAAAAGATATTCCCTTCTAATGAAAAATGTTTAAACTTATTATATTCCCTTACTGCAGATCATGTTTTACCAGCAGAACCGATTTTCACGTCTAAAAATGAGTTAATAGAATCTGAATTTTCAATCTCTGAACTTCAAGCTGTTTTAAAGAAAAAAGATTCTGCGCCAGGAAAGACGGTATTTCGTATACAATGCTATACTACCTACCTATTTCGGCTCAAATAATACTGCTTAATTTGTATAATAGAATTTTTATCACCGGAAATATACCTTCTCAATGGCGTGACATCCAAATAGTCCCTATTCCTAAAAACAATAATAATAGTAGTGAAGTTAAATTAAGACCAATATCTTTAATATCATGTATGTGTAAAACCTTGCATTTAATGATTTTCAGGCGTTTAGAGTGGTATACGGAGAAAGAAAGAATATTGTCGTCGTCCACAGTCGGTTTTAGGAAGTCGCAGTCTTGTTTGGATTGTTTGACTCGATTAGTTACCTACATTCAGATTGGGTTTTCAAAAAATAATGCAACATTAGCCTGTTTCTTGGACATTGAGAATGCCTATAACAATGTTTCAGTTGATATAGCAGTGAATGTGCTTGACAATCTGAACGTAGGTGCTACACTGTGTAAATACCTTTGGAGATATTTGAGTGAAAGGCACCTAATGTAGGGTTTAATAATGGTGATATAGTAAGCAGATATACTAATGCAGGCTTAGCTCAGGGGACCCACTCTCTCCTCTTCTCTTTAATCTAATTACCCATAAAATATGTCATAAACTACAGAATGTGGAGGCTTCACAATATGCAGATGACTTTGTAGTGTATATTAGTGATAAGGACGTCAAATTATGTGAAAAAGTCATTCAAGATGCGTTGGATACAACCGTAGTATTGTTAACTGAATTAGGCTTAACGCTTTCGCCAAACAAGACGCAATATTGCTTTTTTAGTAAGGGCCATAGAAGAATTATTCCTGTTTTAAAGGTAGGCTACCAACAATTGACGTATACAGAAAATGTCAAATATTTGGGTATGTGGCTGGACAGGAGTCTAAAGTGGGGCAAACACATTAATGAAATTTCGTGTAAATGTTCCAAATTTTTAAATATATTGAAAGTATTGGCCGGAAGTTCTTGGGGAATACACATGTCACACTTGCGACGATTATATATATCCCTAATTAGAGCTCGTATTGACTATGCTTGTTTCTTATATGATTGTAGTGTTAAAAGTCACGTTTCCAAACTTGATAAAATTCAAAATCAAGCGTTGAGGGTGATAGGGGGATTTATAAAGAGCACTCCAATTTATGTCATGGAGAGTGAGTTACATGTGGCACCTCTGTTTGTTAGGAGACAATATCTAGCTTATAAATATTTGATTAAAAACAGATCAAAGTCGATGAACAGTACTAATAAATTAATAGCCGAAATAAATAGCTTAATATATAACAACAGGTATTGGACTAATAAAAAGAAACCCCTACTTGCACAATCCTTCCGGGATACGAATCAAATTGATTGTATTTCAATGGACACTCTTAAAATGTTTAGCTTTGAAATCTGGTTGTCAGCTGTAGGTTTCCAGAAATACTTAGAAGATAACCTAGAATGTATATCCTTAGCAAAATCTAAATATGAACCTAACGTTCTAATGAACAATGTCCTGAGAGAATTATGTGTGAAGTATGAGGGCTGGCATAAATTATACTCTGACGGTTCCAAGGGAGCTGATGGCTTGGGCGCAGGTTTTTATGATCAAAGCTGTAATTACAAACAAGGTTTTAAAGTTATCTCAAATGTATCTATAATGACGCTTGAACTCATTGCAATTCATCAAGCTTTGATTTACACAGTGAGGAACAATTACAACAAAATAGTTATTTTCACTGACAGCAAGAGCGCTATACTGCACCTGGCTCGATGCGCCTCTGGTTGCAGCAGAGGTACATCGACAGCCTACGACATCCTAAAAATAATTTTGAATTATAGCAAAAATAACACAGAGGTGAAGGTGCAATGGGTTCCAGCACACATAGGTTTAATGGGAAATGAGGAAGCTGACCGTCTGTCGAAATTAGCTGCTAAGGAAGGAATGCAACTTGATTATACACCTGATTATTTGGAATATTTACCTAAGTTTAAACAGAAATGCTTTGATGTTTGGCAAAATCATTTTACAGTGACATCAAAAGAAAAAGGCATATGGTACAAGACCATTCAAGGTAAGCTTCCTCAGATTCCCTGGTTTGAGAATAGTAAGGTAGGCAGAAATTATATTAAGTTATTGTTACGATTACGTTCCGGACACTATCCATCAGCGAAATTTGGGTTTCTAATGAAAAAAATAAACTCACCTAATTGTACGACGTGCAACGTTATAGAAGACGTTCAACATCTACTGATGGATTGTGTCAGGAATCAAAGTCAACGGAACGATCTGGTCAATGAATTCCAGCTAAATATGCAAGAGGTGGGGTTGATACAATCTATTTTAGCTCAGCCAAATTCTAAATTAGCAAAACGATTGTGTCAGTTGATGTATTTCGTTGATTAAGACTAAGTTAATTAGGAACTTTCATAGTTAATTTTAAGGTTTTGTTTATATAATGGTTGTAGGTAGTATTAGGTACGATGGGGTTGGCGTATCCTCATGGATAAAAACCCCGTATTAACTAAATGTAGAATAAAAAAAAAAAAAAAAAAAAGAAACGAAGTCCTTCAAACAAACATAATAAATACAAAAACAAATAACTAAGCAATTAGAAGTACCAGGAAAACATAACACACGAGGCGGTTGACATCGCCCCAATGTAATGTTTAACCCCAAACAAAACGTTACTAATTGACATTTGACATATGCAAACTGTCAGAAGTGAATTAAACAGTTGGTGGAATTGAAAATGATGAGGATTGGTCAAGCGACAAGGACATTGCGATCGCCACGGTTTTTATAAAGAGGTCGGAGACGGCTTCAATTAATGACACGCCCGCACATTATGTATGTACTAATATAGATACATAGTAAATATTTTTGTTTGTTTCGGTCATGTTCAAAATGGTCCAAGCATTCAGTACATCAAGCTACCCCAGACACTATCATTTTCTTAATCGGATATTTAACTTTGAAACTAAATGCACAGTTAACAAACGTAGCAGAGCTTTTTGATAAGTCTAACTTTTCAAACTGCGATTTAGAACCCATCTACAAAGCATAGAGCCTATAGCAAGCCCTGGTTGTAATAATATATAAGAATTAGGTATAGAAGAGGCCCATTGTCTAACAGCGGATTATCACGGGCTGTTGAGCATGATGTCCAGTAAACGGAGTTAAGCTGATGATGATGTTGATAACTCCTTCATTCATAAGTGTGGGAAAGACATGCTTCGGCACGAATGGGCCGGCTTTCGAGTGATACCACGGCCTCATAGAAAACCGACATTTTTTTAAAAAAAAAACATGGCACACTAGGATTATCTCCTGTGTCGTGGGTGCGTTTACAAACATACAAGTTCACATACACATGACACCCAGACCCGAAACAACAATTTGTGGATCACACAAAGTGTTGTTCCGTGCGGGAATCGAACCCGCGACACGTTGCACGGCAGCCGGTTGCCCAGCCACCGCACCAACCGTGCAGTCAAACATTGGACCGGAGGCCCAATTACCTTCCTCTCCAATCTTCCCAATCCCCGAATCCCAAACAATCCTTGAATTCCTAATTCTCAAAAGGCCGGTAATGCACTACTAACATCTGTAGTGTTTTGGGTGTCCATGTGCGACGCCGATTGCTGACCATCAGGTGATCCTTCTGCTCGTTTACCGGCTTATTCCATAAAAAAGGTACTTACACAATAGTTTAGGTGAGAACTTTAATTCACTGGTAGTCTGTTCAATGATGAGTCTATCAACTTCTTCCGAGATGGACTTGTCGTCCACAGGCAGAGATCGAAGCCACGCCAATACTTTCGCTGTTTCCTGTAACAAAAATTTAAATGTTGTACATGTCTACGTAAAGAAAGTAATGACCGTTCACCAATCATCCCTAAACTATCTAACAACTAAGTTACTTACGCCCGAAAACTTAAAAGGCTACCTAATTTAAAGTTGTACTTAAATATCGTGCTATCTCTGTCATTTTGCGGAGAACTTGAACTCGAAGTGCAGGAGTAGGAACGGGGTGGTTTTTAGTCAGTAAGAGTCTGACACTCCCTCCCGCCTCACCCAGGCGGGAGAAGGCATTCGATGTTTATCCCCCCTTAAAAAATATCTGTCATTTTACAAAGAATTTTTAGTGACAGAAGTATTCTTAAGCGTGACTTAAAATTGAGCATTTGGACATTAGCGTTACGTAGCACATAAACCTTTCTTGTACTGTTAGGTGACAATATAGTGTCACCTGACAGTATGTACAGGTTGGTGAAACCCATAATGTTGTAAGCTGAGTGATATCTCAGCTAACGACATTACTTAAATTTTTTAATAGGTTGTTAGAAACTGGTATATTATTAAATTATATTATATCTGTTAAAAAATAATATTCAGTGAATAATCATAGATGTGACCGCCCAGAAAGAATTCATGGGATGGCAAAATTTATATTAATTGAGTTATATTCAATATTTTCGATAATAGAGAGCTCATGGCAAGATTATAATAATATGACGTATCTCGAAACTAACAACCAATTATACGTTTTCAGAACTAAAGTAAAAGATAACAACTTTACCATTAAAAAAAAGAAATGCTGACTCATTTCTGAAGTGGTTATTATTTTAATATTTTTACAAGACTTCGCGACTGACACATCTTGGTACAGAAATGAGAGATATGTTTATCATTTCTTGCCATCGTACCTAGATTCGCGGTGGTACATGGAGTAACAATTAATAACATTTCAAATAATTACACAATTTAAGTGTAAAGATTAGATTAGATTAGACTGCCCCGTTTTTAGTTTTTATAGTCAAACCTATAATTAGAATTTATAAGCCCAGGTTTCCTCACGATGTTTTCCTTCACCGCTTGTCAGTGGTGTCTAGATCTTAGAAAGTACATATAACTCGGAAATAGTCACATTGGTACTTGCCGTTGGTAGGTTTCGAACCCGCATCCTCATGCATGAGAAGAGGGGGCGACTTAAACCTCTGGGCCACCACGACTGGCTTTTTAGCCCATTTCTATTACAGAAAAGGGGTGGATCTATTACAAATACTACGCAATAGTTTCAGACTCAGTGCTATTTACTGAACGTTGCCCTATTTTAGATAATGTATCCCTTAGCTCTTTCGACATCCACAGGCAGAATAGAAGTAGTGATACAATATGTCTTCTATCTACCCTGTCACTCCACCGCACTCATCACATTAACGGCCAATAAGTGGCCACTGCTGACCAAAAGCCTCTTATAGAGTTAAGTGGGAAAAATCATCGAATGACTACTCCTGCCTGGGTGAGGCGGAAGAGAGTGTCAGACTCTTACGGACTAAAAATCACCCCGTTCCTTCTCCTGCACTTCGAGCCGGAGCCCCGGTAACCTGTTAGGTTCTCCGCGACTCCAAATCCGCATCAGCCCTATTGGGCCCCATCCGTGGTGGTCTGATTGCTCTTTGAGGCGCGCGTGGAACTCGACGCGTTTAAGGTCGGGTCTAGTTCTGGTCGGGCGGCGAGCCACCCATGCTTGCCGTCCGCAGGCCCGCGGAAAAGGTATGAGCATTAATCACCACGCTTGCTCAATACGGGTTAGTGATTTCAAACTTCTAATTACCGATTTCCTCACGATGTTTTCCCTCATCGTTTGTCAGTGGTGTCTAAATAATAATCAACTACACAACACAATTACCTATGTAAGTGAAATTGTTCAATTTCACATTTTACGCATAAATTAATATCCATGCAATATTATAAAAGATAATTAATCTTATTTATATTGCAATTTACTTATGACTGATAAAATGATAATGCATTTAAGTCTCGTTAGTAAATAAGATTAATCATTGCTAACAAATTAATCAGTCATTTTGATTGATTCATAATTGTATAATGAACAAAGGTGTTGATGTAGTTATTAATTGTCAATGTAATTATTTGTTGGCTATGCAAATTGAAATTAATTTTTCAGTAAACCATTGAAGTTAGGATAGATTGTGCAAAAATAGGTCTAAGTGTGGGAGAGCCATGCTTCGGCACGTATGGGCCGGCTCGACCGGAGTGATACCACGGCCTCACAGAAAACCGACGTGAAGCAACGCTTGCGTTGTGTTTCGTCGTGTGAGTGAGGTTACCGGAGGCCCAATTACCTTCCCCTTCCCCAATCTCCCCAATCCCTGAATCCCCAACGATCCTCAAACTCCTAATCCCCAAAAAGCCGGTGACGCACTTGTAACGCCTCTGTGTTCCAGGTGTCCATGGGCGACGCCGATTGCTTACTATCAGGTGATCCGTCTGCTCGTTTACCGGCTTATGCCATAAAAAAAGTAGATAGTTTTCTCAGTAATAAAATGGAGTCTGGATAGATTAAGCAAGAGCGAATTTTTTACTGTTTTGGCAATCGAACCCGGACTTTGTTTGTATGACAGATAGTCGTTTCTCTTATACATGCTTAAATTATCATTATGATAATTTGGTTAATTAAAAATTACGGCTTATTCACATAAACTACTCGAAGAAGCTCGTCTGGTTTCAAGCAATACTGAGATTCATAATCATGGACTGCTGGGTCATTTTATAACTTTCAATTCGAAATATCGAAGTGATCGCCATGTAATTGTTTGTGTAAATAATCGCGACCAATAACGGACGAGAATGCGATCGAAGTCAAAGTCAAAATCATTTATTTCAATTACACCAGGAAGACAGATTAGAACGTTAATAAAAAAATAAAATATGAAGCTTAACTCCATAGGTTACTCGTTTTCAATCAGATTCACAATATAATTCTATAGTTACATCGGTTTGTTTTGGTCGGTCGACACCGGACGATAGAAGTTCAATTGTGCGAGAACAATGTAACACCAAAATCTGGTCAAAGAGATCGAGCTCATTTCGAAAGTTTAATTTGACTAATTACAGAATTGCCCATTAGCATAGGATAAACCGTGTACACATTAGTTTTAAGCAAGCTTTTTATCATAACATCAGCAAATAACAAATAAACATTTAATAATGAACTAAATCCTTACCTCATTTCTCCCGCATTTGACCAAGTACGATGGTGTCTCCGGCAACCGCAGCAGTATGCAGAAATGAATGAGAGGTATAGCCAGCAGGATCCAGAGCACTGTGTTGAAAGGTAGCAGGTCTCCTAGGATGAACACCAGAAGGTTACCAGCAGTCTGAAAAGGAAACCTGGTTTTAGAAGAACATATTAGGTGCCGGAAAGATGTGTTCTCCGGCTACCGTAAGCAAGGGCCTGCGGACGGCGAGCTTAGGAAGCTAGCCGCCCGACCAGAACCAGACCCGAGCGTACGGGGTGTCGCGTTCCGCGCGCCTCCAAGAGCCATCAGACCACCACGGATGGGGCTCAATAGGGCTGAAGCCGATACGGAGACGCGGAGAACGTAAAAGGGTTCTGGGGCTTCAGCTTGAAGTACAGGAGTAGGAATGGGTTGGTTTTTAGCCAGTAAGAGTCTGACACTCACTCCCGCCCCACCCAGGCGTAAGAAGTCATTGATTTTCCCACCTTGAAAAACTAGGTCTGTAGGAACTGGAGACCGCCGAATGCATAGATCTTCGCGAGTGGTGTAGACGCGTCTTTTAGTTTCTAGTCTTCTTCCGGAAGACAGTACCGCTTTTAGTCAATTATATCCTAATTTTGTTCGAGTATACCTTACTAATGTACAGGCCTATAAATAGAAGTAAAATACATTCGTCACCAGCATTAATCTTCCCGCAAGTATCTAAAGAGCCGAAGGGATAGTATATTTAACAGAGATTGAACCAGTAGTTCCTCTAACACATCGTACCAAGTTTCCTCAATCCTCTTTTTTTGTTCAGTCTATTCTTCTGTGGAATGCGCATAATAATAATAATTATTATATAGATAGTATTAACCTTGGACTTCAAATACGCATGCTTCTTGTATCGACCATGGGACTGCAAAAGAATGCTGTAAGCCTTTTAAAATAAAATATTTCCAGACATTAGCGCGTTCCAATTACTTATTGATGTTTGTTAATCAAATTAACAAACATCAATAAGTATATTGTAAAGATATACAAGATTCATAGATCGTATAATAAAAAGTCTTCTTAGAACGTTATGAGGAAATGAACAGGAAAATCATATCTTTTATATGTAAGAGGAATACTTGTATTATAGTATATTGACTTACGCACTTTGTAGAGGTACATATATTATAGAAACTGCCTCGTTGGCCGAGTGGTCGCAAGTGCGACTGCTGGGCATAGGGTCTCGGGTCAAAGTGTTACTGGGTTTTAAAAAAAATCTCAGTAGTAACACGGAGTTTGGAATTGTGCCCGGTATATGGCAATAAGCACACCCCCTATTACATGGGTCTCATAACATAAATACTGAAAAGTGGGTGTTACATTGTACAGTGGCATTAACTCGTCGAGTACCGGTTTTATAGACACAATTAAAGAACAATAGGTCGCGGTCACCGGTGACCGCTTGGTGTTTGACAGATTAAGTGCCGTAATGTTCTCTGTCTACCCGTTCGGAGATAAAAGGCGTGAAGTTAGTAGGAATATATACTGTAAGTACCTCACAAAGGGATCCACATACTTTTAAAGGGGGGGGGACCCCATTCAATGACTTTTCTCGCCCGGGTGAGTCGAGAAGGAGTGTCAGACTCTTACTGACTAAAAACCACTCCGTTCCTACTCCTGCACTTCGAGCCGGAGCCCCGGCAACCCGTTAAAACCTCCGCGGCTCCGTATCGACGGATTCACATACTAGGAGGAAAATTACGAAAAATAATTCTGACAAGTCTAAGTACACGTAAATAAAAAATTAATACAGTACGGTTCTTAGATAACTTTGGGACTACCTAACCAATAAAAAAACAACTCACAGGTATTGTAAAAAGGTTCTTTTAAGCGCCACACTGAGGGAATCCCATCGGCAATAGTTATCGCCATCTTGTCATTCTTGTCAAGGTTTCAGATGTCACGACTTCGCAATTGTCTTCCGAAGTGTTTCGAGTTGGGAGTACCCATCTTATATTGCGGTTTTGTATTGCGAATTCGTGATTGACAGGATAGGTATGACACACAGCTGCAGACCAAGCTATACAACCAGTATACACTGACCGTCGATTGGGTAGAAAGTTTATATAGAGCGGGTTCATGATAAATTGGATTTAATAGCTTGATGTGGCTACACAGGGTATGGCTATGTGTAACCAGTATACAATGATATTCGAATGTACAGAAAGTTCATATAAAGTGAGATCATGATAATATGGTATACATAGCTTGATTTGTACCATTACTGAAGTACATTCCTCGAAGAGGTTAACAAAGATTATTCTTACTATAGACATTTTTGACGACACCGTCTAGTGACGTCAGAGTAGAATACATTTTGATACCACCTCTAGTTTTCCCACGGGTGTAAGAGCAGAAAAGGGACTGCACATTTAACAGAGACTGGACATTAGCGGTAATTGATAAAACTTTTGAACAATGATCTCGAATTCGCCTGCCAACCGAGGAGATTATGGCAAACCTCTTTTTTTATATAACTATTTGATGGGCCGACGTTTGACCTCTATCTCGTCTGGTGGTAAGCGATGATGCGATCTACGATGGAGCACGTCGTTCCATAAGCAACCTATTCACTCGGGCCTTGAAGACACCCAGGTTATACTCTTCAGGAACTAAGGTACAGAATTTGGCAAAGCATTCCACTACTTAGCAGTACGCAGAAGGAAGCTTAATGCGAAGAGCTTAGTGCGTGTGGGTGGGACATCTACCATGAATCGATGACGCTTTGCCGATTGGGTAGTTAAGAGGGTAAGAAAATTAAAAATCTAATTAGTCCGTCTGTCCGTCTGATAATGAAAAAATATTAGACACGTTTTTTTTTAAAAAAAAACGACGCCCCACATTAGGATTCTCTCCTGTGTCGTGGGTGCGTTTACAAACATACAAGTTCACATACACCATGACATTTTGTTGTATAATGCGTTGCGTTGTGACGTTTTAGCCCCCACTCCTAAACTTTGATTCGTTTATCTAAGTATTGTTTTTTAATACCCTGTCATCATCCCAATTGTTGGCCTATTCAAAGTTCTCAGTAGTTAGTTATAAAATCAGCCACTAAGTGTCTTTCTAACATCTTAATTGACACCCAGACGACAAACAAACTAGACAGTGGAATTGTAGAAATATTTTTATTTATTTATTTTATTTATTTTCAACCATGATCGTCCCACTGCAGGGCAAAGGCCTCCCTACCCTCTTTACACTCCTCTCTATGTAAATTAGAACCTTTATTAAAGAACAATTATTAATTGTAGAACTATTGCAGGTACAAAAATACAATAGGAGTAGGCAGAGGTGCACATTACGCCACTGTACAATGTAACACTCACTTTTCACTATTTATGTTATGAGTCCCATGTAATAGGGGGTAAGCCTATTGCCATATACCGGGTACAATTCCAGATTCCGTGCAACTACTGAGGTTTTTTTTAAACCCAGTAATACTGTGCCCGACTCGGGAATCGAACTCGAGACCCCTAACTCGACAGTCACGCTGGCAGCCACTTGACCAACAAAACAACGTTTAACCAGTTACTTATCATAATTGTTTCCATATTAAATCTAATGGAGATGGCATGCGCCAATCATTAAAAGATCATTAATTTATACTTAAATACCTATTTTATACAACGCAAGTGATTTATTATATAAAGATCTACACAAAGACACGTGTAGTTATGTCTCTATCGTATAATTATATGAATCATGTGATTGGTCTATATTACTCTGAGTTATCTATTATAATATTATGAATGCACTGTTTTCAGACATGATCGGAAAGAGGTCAGACATTCTACTCATCCAATTCCTTTGACTGCACGGCTGCGCGGTGACAACTTTTTGTATTATCCACAGATTGTTGTTCCGGGTCTGGGTGTCATGTGTATGTGAACTTGTATGTTTGTAAACGCACCCACGACACAGGAGTAAATCCTAGTGCGGGGCAACGTTTAAAAAAATTCTTGGCCAGTGTCTGTGTTCTCTAAATCGTCTGTTCAAATTAGCTTCATTTGCAGTTCAATTTTGACGTTTTAAATATTTCAAACATAAAATATTAATTGAAGTAAATACTTTAACTATGACTTTCAATTAGGTACTTTCCTTAGGTCAAAAATAAATTACTTTGACTGTTCAATACAATATAAAATATTAAAAAATAATCACGCTTTCATTAATTGATTTTATGACCAAGTTGCTCAAATCAATTTTAGTATTATTCTAGCAATTTTTTAAGAAATAAGTGAACCTACTGTTTGACGCTAAAAAAACGTGACGTCACAATACACAATATCATACAAATCGTTTTTGACAGTTCGAAAAAAGTATTGAATTCGACTAGATGGCAAGTACCCAATCGGTGAACTTTCATAATGTTCTTACCTGTGAGAATATAACGAAGGTCCCCGTCATTCCTCTTATACTGTCCTCACTGATCTCCTTGACATATAGAGGACACACCACGAACCCTCCTCCGGAACCGAAGCCAATGAGTGCGCGGGCACCAATCAATGCGATTGGATGCGCACACATCAATTTCACTGCCCAGCCGATCTGTGAATGAAAACGATGTTTAATTAGGATAATATTACTAGAAGATATGTCCTAAATTGTGACTGAGGGATTGGTAATGTTTTCCTCTAGAGTTTTTGTGTCTTAGCTGCTATCCTCATCAGTAAGAGTCTGATACTCCTTCTCGCCTCACCGGGGCTGGAGAAGCCGTTGGATTGTATCCCCCCCTTAAAAAAATCCCTTTGTTGTCTATCAAGTGTGGGGATTATGACAAATTCTTAATAACCTTTCTGTAATGATGTAGACAGAAACTACAGGCTTATTTTGTGTACAAATTCTGTTGGACGTTAGTTACTTTTGTACATTGAATTTTAATCAATTAAAATTGAAAAATGACTTGATAGAGTGCTGATGGAGTTTAAAGCTCAGATAAAAATGTAAAAAAAACTTGCACATTAACATTTTACTAAATAAACAAATATCATTTCACTAATTAAAAATCGCGGGTTATTCACATGAATATACTGAGAAAAGCTCTACTAGTTTCGAACCACAGAGGGGTTCGTCTCATGAGCAGCGTGCGCGGTCGCGGCGATGTCGCCCAGCCTACTACTACTACTACCCTCAATAATAACCCGCGATTTTTAGTTTATTTAGTATGTCTAACGATAGTTATTATAAAAATAAACAAATACTTACAGAAATAGGTATAGAAGCACAAAGCAAAGCATTTTTCCTGCCAAACTTGTCAGCAGCGACGCCATACACGAACACAGCGATTGGTGCAAAGATGAACATAATGGATGCCATCCAGGAAACATCCTCTTCAGAGAGAGGTGAGCTGGAGGGAGAGTAGTCCCCCATCAGCAGAGCCTTGTTGGGGGATATCCACCCCATAGCCGTCCCGTACGCCAGGATTGGCATACATACTGTAAAAGAAAGATTAAAAATTATAGTTAGGTACATGAAGATATGACAAACAGTAAAGGAAAATCTTGAGGAAACCAGAAATTAGAATTTCTAGTTATAAGTTTGAAACCAATTGTCGTGGTGGCCCGGTTTAAGTCGCCAGCTTCTTATGCATGAGGGTACAGGTTCAAAACCCACCAACGGCAAGTACTAATGTGACTTTTCCCGAGTTATATGTACTTTCTAAGATTTTCTAGACACCACTGACAAACAGTGAAGGAACACATCATAAGGAAACCTGGGCTAATAATTTCTAATTAGACGTGTGTAATCGCACGCAATAAGCAAGCGTGGTGATTAATGCTCAAACATTCTCCGTGTGAGAAGAGCCTGTTGATGATGATGAAGTTTGAAATCGACAATCCGCTTTGAGCAGGTGGTCAATGTTAATTTAATTATTCATCCATAAAAAAGGGTAGACAGAAGTACATTATTTATGACCTACCTCTAGAATACATAAATAAAAACTTTAAGTTTAAAATCCTAATTTATGAATTATAAATTCAGAGCATTGAGTCCAATTTTAGCAAATCACTCTCCTTCTTTAATTTACATTAGCAAATAATAATTGAAATTGAGACTTCTTGCTCTGATTACTGATTATTCATACTTACCTTGAATTTAAAATTGTGTTAGATGTTTTTAATAACATAAATCATTTGTTTACTTACATAATTGTTAAAGAAAATGGAAACAAGTAAAGGAAAGAAGTAGGTATCCCATCTACTTATGCGTACTTATTATTTTACTTATTTTTTTTTAATAACTGCGACTGCCTTGTTGGCCGAGTGGTCGCAAGTGCGACTGCCGGTCAAGGGGTCTCGGGTTCGATTCCCGGCAAAGTATTACTGGGTTTTGAAAAAAAACTCTCAGTAGTAGCACGGAGTCTGGAATTGTGCCCGGTATATGGCAATTGGCTCACCCCCTAATACATGGGATTCATAACATAAATAGTGAAAAGTGGGTGTTACATTGTACAGTGGCATAATGTGCACCTCTGCCTACACTTTCGGGGATAAAAGGCGAGATGTTCTGTTATGTTACGTTTTTTAAAAATCTGTCCTACATATTACATATTTGGAATTAAAAATTACATATAAAACTTAAAAGCAGGATAGAAAACTAAAATACCATTCCTTAAGTAAAATCACTCCATGCCATTTCGTCCGTTGAACCTTATAAAAAGGTTGACTAACGAGCTAAAAATATCTATGGTTAAATATAGACTAAGTGCCTCAAATGGCTAAGTAACAAGAACTGAGCAGGTATGCGTTCCTGGTACTCAACGGCACGATTCTAAGTATTTTTAGATTTACAACTTGTCTATGACGCACTCTACGTTTGCATTAACTGTCTATGGGATTGTGGGAAGAAATTCGAAATTTGAATTTTGGTTTTAAATTTAAAATCTATGCGGGCTTCGTTGGTAACTGCCAGAGGTTTCTGTATTGGGCAAAGAACCTACCTAATATATAGATATACTAGCGGACCCGACAGACGTTGTCCTGAATATTTTTACGATATTTCAAGATATTAAGGTTTAAATAACCTAAAAGCGACTGCAGCGCCATCTGTCGGGCTGATTTGTGAATCTAAACCATCCAGGGCACCACTCAAACGCATATAGAAAAATTCATTTAAATCGGTCAAGTCGTTTCGGAAGAGTTCAATGACATACACACGTACAGGTGAATTATATATATAAATATTTTTTTAATAACGTTACCCCACACTAGGATTGACACCTGTGTCGTGGATGCGTTAACAAACATACAAGTTCGCATAAGAAATGCTCCGTGCGGGAATCGAACCCAGCCATCGCGACAACCTTGCAGTCAAAATAATGTGGTCAGGATAATGTGGTATTGCGCTTGGTGTAAGGCAGTAGATTCATCTATTCGTCTCTAGTTCATGGGAGTCCCATGATGGGACTCATATCATACATAAAAGAGTAAATAGTTAGTGGCACAATTATTATTTTTTAAACCACTTCTGCTTAACCCTTTGGCTTATAAAAACCAAGATGTTGCTACATACATACATAACCTCACGCCTGTCTCCCATTGGTGTAGGCACAGACTATGGAATGCCAATTGCTACGATTTTTGTATACTTCTTACGCTTCATCAACAGTCATCAGTTTTTTTTGATGCATGCTCGTGGGTTAAGAGTACTTTTAATTTGGCCCTTCTTTAATATATCGCTAATCTGGTCGGTATAATGTCTGTCTAGGGCGCCCTCTACCGATGGTCTCATTCATTGACTGCACGGTTGGTGCGGTGGCTGGGCAACCGACTGCCGTGCAACGTGTCGCGGGTTCGATTCCCGCACAGAATAACACTTTGTGTGATCCACAAATTGTTGTTTCGGGTCTGGGTGTCCTTGTGTATATGAAATTGTATGTTTGTAAATGCACCCACGACACAGGAGAAAACCCTAGTGTGGGGCAACGTTTAAAAAAAATCCGCTTCATATACTCCTAACTTTTCTTTCAATCCTTTCTACATGTCCAAACCATCGTAACATTCCCTTTTCATTCCTTGTCACTACGTCGTCTTTTAATCCATGTACCATACATAGCTTAATTAAAGAAAATAGAATATGACAAGTCTAATGATTATGATTATCATATAATTATAGTGTGACAGCAACTACTAATAACAGACGGTATCACTAATTAATTATAGTTATTTTCTAAGTTATTATTTTTAGAAAAGTGTGTTTCATTTAATAGCCATATAAACCTATCCTGCCTTTAATTAACGACTGAAGTATACTTAATAGGCACATATTTATATATACTGATCAAGTGGGTATTAAACAGTAAGAGCCATGTCAGAAAGTGTGCGAGAGCCACGCTTCGGCACGAATGGGCCGGCTCGACCGGAGTGATACCACGGCCTCACAGAAAACCGACGTGGAACAACGCTTGTGATGTATGAGTGAGGTTAACAGAGGCCCAATTACTCCCCCTCCTTCCGCAATCTCCCCAATATCCCTAACAACCCTCAAATTCCTAATCCCCATAAGGCCGGCGGCGCCAATTGTTTACCATCAGCTAATCCGTCTGCTCGTTTACCGGCTTATTCGATAAAGATGTAATATATAACTTTTATGTAAACCCTCCCGCCTCACCCAGGCGGAAGCAGTCATTGGATGATTTTCCCCCCTTAAAAAAAAAACTTCAAGGAGTAGCATCGTAGGCGTTACATCGTAGGGGCTCCGGAATTTGAAAAAAAACAAATGAACGCTTATTCTCTCACTCGCCAGTTGCATTTTGTTACACTGGACCAACGAGGCAGTGTATTATTAGAATGTTATTCGTAGGGTGATATATTTATGATGGTGACTTATATTAGACGGAAATTAAGAATGTCAGGTGCATGCACGTGGGGAAAAATATCTTGGCACTGGCCTACACTGCCGTGTTATATGCAGTTTGTATTTTGTATAGTGTATAAACAATAATGTAGGAATAAAATTAATTCATTGATGTTATCATTTGTTTTTTTTATAAGTTTTTGATTATGGCGAAGGCAAGTCAAGTCAAAATCATTTATTTCAATTAGACCAGGTAGGCACTTTTGAACGTCAACAACAAAAAATTAGAAGTGAAGCTAGTTGCTCATTCCAAAGTGTAGATACCTAATAGAGAAGAACGAGCAAGAAACTCAATAGGTTACTCTTTTTCAATCGGGTTTACAATACAATTATCTGGTTACATAGTTTCATTGGTTCGATTGTGTGAGAACAATGCAACACCTAAATCTAGTCAAAGAGATTGAAAAAGAAATTAACCCTGAGGATAATAAAATGATACAGTATGACCAGTCCTAATGGGCAATGTAACAACACTTAGATTTTAATCCCAAAGTAATCAGAGAAAAAAGATATTAAATAGTATCTACTAGCTTCTGCCCGCGGCTTGGCCCACGTTCCTATAGTATAAAAAGTAGCCTATGTGTTAGTCCAGACCATAATCTATCCTTGTTCCAAATTTTATCTCGATCCCTTCAGCCGTATTGACATGAAGGAGTAACAAACAAACATGTAAACTTTGATTTAAATTTCCGTAACAAAATGGTAACTCGTATTATTATAATATAACACAACATCACGCCTTTTATCCCCGAAGGGGTCGGCAGAGGTGCACATTACGGGACGTAATGTCACTGTGCAATGTAAGACACACTTTTCACTATTTATGTTATGAGTCCCATGTACATACCTATTACATGGGACTCATGTAAGTCGGGTGCACTCGGGTGAGCTTATTGCCATATACCGGTCATAATTCCAGACTCCGTTCTATTACTGAGAATTTTTTAAAACCCAGTAGTACTTTGCCCGACCCGGGAATCGAACCCGAGACACCTTGCCCGGCAGTCGCACTTACGACCTCACGATGGTCGGCCAATGAGGCAGTCATAATAATGGCCTTTAAATCTGATATTTCATTTAAAACTTTTTACCTTTTGGAAAATGTGATCTTGTGAGTCTTATGTCATGGCAAAGCTTATAAAAAAAATCAAATATATGTACTGCAATAAATTTTTTTTTAAGATCTTATCATCGTGCACACTGCTGATTTGCTCAGCAGCACGGCCTCTTCTCGCACGGAGAAGGTTCGAGCATTAATCACCACGCTTGCTCAATACGAGTTGGCGATTTCAAACTAATAATTAGAAATTATAAGTCCAAGTTTCCTCACGATGTTTTCCTTTACCGTAAGAATGTACAATACAATTAGGGAAGTACATAACCTAGTCCATGAATGCAACACGTGAATAATTTATGTAAATAAAAAAATGAATCACCGAAATGTACCTATGTACGCGCGTAACTCAAAAACGGCTGCACCAAATTGCATTTAATTGTTTTGTTCGTGTTTATTATTGTCAAGATAGAGTCTGTTTAAAATTTTCAGGAAAAAAACATTTGCAATATATATTAATACCAAATATTATATTTTTAATAGTAACCGTAATATGAGAAGTAAGAAAAATCACGTGATAAAGAGACAGCTGAATATTGAATACAAGCTTTTACCCGCGGCTTCGCTCGCGTCACAAAAGGATAAAATCTAGCCTATGTGACTATCCATCCCTTCAACTACCTTCAGTTAAAAAATCACGTTAATTAGTACCTCCGTTCTGCCGTTTCAGACAGGCAAACAAACAAATAGCTTTACGCTCGCGTGGAATTCGGTTATATCGCGCTAATTAATTTTTTCCAATAAGTAGGTAATTCGTTGACTGGTTTTAAATGGCATACAGTGCCATCTATACCAGTACACACAACGCCATCTATACCAATATTTTGGTTTTCCTCATTCTAACTTTACGTCTGCAAAATTTCAAAACAATCGGTTTAGTAGTTACGGCGTGAAAGCGGAACAAACAAACAAACTCACTTTCCGATTTATAATATTAGTAAGGATTACCTTTATCATACGAGTGCTAATTATAATATTCAACTGAAACTATTTAAAACTCAGTGGCGATCATACACTGGAAACAACAGGAAGAAAATGTAATATTTTTTTATGGGATAAGCCGGCAAACAAGCAGGCGGATCACCTGATAGTAAGCAATCGGTGTCGCCCATTGACACCTGGAACACCAGAGGCGTTACAAGTGCGTTAGCGACCTTTTGGAAATTAGGAATTTGAGCATTGTTGAGTATTCGGGGATTGGGGAGATTGGAGAAGGGGGTGAGGTAATTGGGCCTCCGGTACCTCACTCACGACGAAACACAGCGCAAGCGTTGCTTCACGACGGTTTTCAGTGCGGCCGTGGTATCACTCCGGTCGAGCCGGCCTATTCGTGCATGGCTCTCATACACTTAAGGTATGATGATGTGTTAGGTAGTCAGATAAAAAATCCAGTTTTGGTTAATATTATTATTTTAACAATTAAATTACTATTTAGTTTAACATTTAATTGCCTACTGATTGATTCGTCTCCCAAATTGTTGGGTTTTTCGATTAGCGTTAGATTCACGTTTGCATGTAAAAATACCATTTTCTTTTAATGGGGTCGTGGACTTTTTTAAATGATGATATAGTAGATTAACCTCCTATCTACCAGCATATGAGACACAATAGAAAACATATTGTGTCTCGCGTATCGATTCATGGATTAATCTGTTTAATGTTGCAATTTTACTAATCGTATAACTTATAATTATTTATTATACTATTCTTTATACTATATTGTATAAAGCGGACATTTACCTATTACCTACATGGGACTTATAACGGAAATACCTAGTGAAAAGTGGGTGTTACTTTGTACAGTAGTATAATGTGCACCTCTGCCTTCCCCTTCGGTGGATAAAAGGCGTGATGTTATGTTATGTTACATAAAGCGAAAGTGTTTGTTTTTTGTTTGAACGCGCTAATCTCCGTAACTTCAAGTCTGATTTGAATAATTATTTTTCTGTTGGATAGCGCATTTATCGAGGATGGCTATAGGTTATAAAACATCACGCTGCGACCAATAGGAGCTAAGCAGAGCGTGTGAAACCGCGCGGAAGTAGCTTTAGTGTTTTAGATAAATGTGAAGAATTGTTGGTTCGTCTTTTACTATATCTTTCTTTCACGGGATAAATTAATGTTGTTATGATATGATATTGTGCTGGAGACAGGGTGGAGAGCGATTGTTAAATAAAATATTGTGTAGTTTATGTTCGAAGATATTGATCACTGAATCAATGTGTAGGAAATAGAAATACAGCTTAGTGGTAGCCAGTGGTAGCCAATAGTAGATGATATGTTTTTTACTTTTGAATGACTTAAAGTGATTCGCTTATTTTTTAGTGTAGATAATACATTATTTTTTTACTATCTATAAGAATATCTCAAAATCAGTAGGTAAAACAGGAACTACGTCGATTTCTATTAGGTATTTTATCAAATAGTAAAAATACACGATGTTCTCATTTTACACCCATAATTATGACAAGCATGATAGATATCAAAAAAAAAAGAATAGAAACAATGTCATATAAATAAATCTATGACATACATAAATCGTAATAGACGAACGTCATAATTATAATTGATAAAAAAAAACTGTCAACAATTAAAAAAAGCGTAATTTTTATAATTACTCACCGACAATGGACATAAGAATCTGATTGTGTTTGCTCCCAACTTTTTCTTCTTTCGCAGAACTAATTTTATACATTTTGTTCACCATTTTTACCGAATGAAAAAATTACACCACCAAAAAATAAATATCACACCGAACTAATTAATATTTTTAAACAAAAATCCTCTATTAAAAAAAATATCACAAAAATATAAAATATCAACAAAATTTGAAATAAATATTTTAATTCGATTTTTAAACTGAATACATTTAAATTTGAATTTTATATATTTATTAAATAAAGTTTATTTTTATTTACGCGCGTGCTCGTCGCGCGCGCTTGCGTGACAACGTTGTATGCGTCAACGCACTGTCCGTCCTGTCTTAGTTACATTGCTTTTATATTAGCGTCATAAGACGAGAGCGCTACATTATCTCTAAATAATACTTAATTTATTACTTTCATTTAATTAAATACAACAATAATTATTTTCTATTAACTGCCAGAATAAGTACGTCACATTAAATAACGAGGATCATTACCTAGGTATAATGCCCATAAGTATGGTGTTTTTTTATTGAATAAGCCGGTAAACGAGCAGGCGAGTCATCTGATGGCAAGCAATCGGCGTCGCCCCTGGACACCTGGAACACTAGAAGCGGTACAAGTGCGTTGCCGGCCTTTTGTAGCTAAGGAATTTGAAGATTGTTGGGGATTCGAGGATCGGGGAGATTGGGGAAGGAGGGGGTTAGTAACTGGGCTTCCGGTAACCTTACTTAGCGTTATTTCACGTCGGTCTTCTGTGAGGCCGTGGAATTACTCCGGTCTAGCCGGCCTATTCGTGCCGAATGGCTACGTTGCTAGGTTTTGTAGCATCCTTCTCGAAAATGGTAATGCGGAAGCGTATCATCCCTTACTATGCAATCAAATTACCATGGGTAGGTACTAAGTAATAACAGTAGTACAAATACTACTCTATATAATATTGCTGTTCCCCGCGGTTTTCTCCACGTAGAATAAGGACTTTTGGCAGAATTTAGATTGTATAATAACAACGTAAGAAATAGAGGGATCTTTTTGGTAGATTTTTCACTCCTCGGGTTAAATTATCAAAATTGTAGCACCTTTTTCCTTTTTTTGTCTTTATTTTTAATTTTTAAATGTAGCCCTTGTTCATCACTTCAAATATAACTCTATATTTATTAAGAAAAATCACGTAACAATTAGATAGGTTAACGAAACTGGCCATGCGTATTGTCTATCGGTACGCTTTTCAATGAGATGTGCATATTGAATTTTGGCCACATGCCAAGTAACTTTCACTTTTCTTGAGGACCAGTAGTTTCGACTGTGCTCTTAATCTTTAGTAATGATATTACCATCATTCAGATATCAGAGGCCTTCGTACGAGTTTCATTTACGTATAAAGTAATCGTATCGAGTACGCGTACGGCGCTGTGATTGGCCGGCGCCAAATAACCAACCAATCAGAGCGCCGAACGCGTACTCGGACACTAGTCTTCTATTCCTGACAATAGAGCTCCTCCAATGTCTTCCAACGGCCGGTTCAAAGCGACTCTTCTATACTTATTTCCAAGATTTTTTTTAAAGGGGGAAAATCATCGAATGACTGCTCCCGCCTGGGTGAGGCGGAAGGGAGTGTCAGACTCTTGCTGACTAAAAACCACCCCGTTCCTTCTCCTGCACGTCGAGCCAGAGCCCCGATAACCCGTTAAGTTCTCCGCGAATGCGTGAATGTATGATGGAAGCTGAAAAAGTATCTAAGAATCGTTTTAGTTGACACTCCACTGGGTGGTAGCTTTTTCATCAGCCTATAAGTGCCCACTGCTGAAGTAAGACCTCTTCACATAGGAGCAAGGTATGAGAATCAACGGAACATTGCTGTGCATTGAGTAACATTGCTTGCTCAAGTTCTACTTATTTTCATGCAACAAAGCTTGAGTTTATATATATGGATCTTAGGCAAATAGTAACATGTATGACAAGAAATGTATATCAAGAGGTTTATTAAAAGTTTATATTAATTTTATTTATTCATTTAATGCACTAACAACTACCATTACAGATACATTCCAATACGATAGTGTAGCCATTAGTCTTACCACATCTTTTAGTAATTACTTATTACCTAATTATAATTAAATTTAAACTTAACGCTTATACATACCTAGAGGTATATACTATTAAAATAAAGTTAAATGTGTAACATTTCTAACTACTAAATAACTGAATCATAAAAACGAAATTCTAATATGTAACACTTACAATGAAATACTCACAACGAAACATAAAAGATATTTTACTTAACATCTATTGAGTACCCACTTACTAAAATAAACTAACTATTAAGTGTTTTAACTTGTTCAATCTAGGTATAGGTAGCTACTACCTATACCTGTAATAAAATTGTAGGAAAGTGAAAACTGTACATTGTATATTTTTCTAAAAGAATGCTTTGGGCGTGATCTACAATGTATACCGAAGCAAAAAATATGGTTTTTAGAATTTTTGTCTGCCTGTCTGTATGTATGTCCGGAATGAACTCATAAAGTGATGCACGGATTTAACTCAAATTTTGCATGAATAGTACTGATAGGTCGGGTCAACATATAGGCTACATATTAGACAAGCTATCACCTACGGGAGAGAAGCTGTGAATCACTTTTCGACGAAGTCGCGGACACAGTTAGTATATATACAAAGACGCAATGTATATGATTCCCCATGAGCCCAAGGTTTGAACTTGACTTATTAAAATTATTGGCTCTATTGATATTGATTGCTTTGACCTATCAGACGTTCAGCTTGTTTTCCCTGCTAAATAATTAAAAACAAGGTTGAACAATATTTCCGTAGGCAAATCATCAAAACAATAGTTGGAAATAAATGTTATTATGATTACAAAATGTATATATATGATGCGGACCCGACAGACGTCCTGCATATCCACTTGAATGTATAAACAAAAATTCATTCAAATTAATTTTAGTTTCAGCCGTTTAGGATAACTAACCTAGACACCGACTGCAGCGCCATCTGCCGGGCTGATTTATGAATCTAAAACATCCAGGGCGCAACTCAAACGCGTACAGAAAAAAACATTTAAATCGGTCATATATATATATATATATAATAAATATATATATATATAATAATTGTTATTCCCGCACGATTTAACCCGCTGCCTTCTGCGGAAAGTGGACTATACCATATGTAAACTGAATTATGTATATCTTGTACTATGTTACTGTTTGTTTGTTTTTATGTTGTACTGTCATCTTGTAATATGTTAGTTTGTTTTCCTTAATAAAAAAATAAATACAAGACAAAAAGAATTATATAATTCGAACTTGAAGTTCCAGAGATTAGGGCGTTCAAATAAAATATTCAGTTTGATATTAGTACCAATAATATATATTGCTAACTTTTGCCCGTGGCTCCGCCCGGGTTCCTTGAGTGTGGGCAATGTGTTATTCCAGACCATATCTAGGTCTGTTCCAAATTTCAACCGAATCTCTGCAGCCGTTTTGACGTGATTAAGTAACAAACATAAATATACAAACACGCAAACTTTTGCATTTAGTTATAATATTTTTTTTAAAAGAGTGACAATCATCGAATGACTTCTCCCGCCTGGGTGAGGAGGGAGCCACTTCAGTGTCAGTCTCTTGATGAACGGATGATTCGTTAGTATATGAGTATATTAGTATATGAGTATGTGAGTATATGAGTATATGAGTATATGAGTATATGAGCATATTAGTATATGAGCATATTAGTATATTAGTAGTATATTAGTACATTAGTATATTAGTATATGGGTATATTAGTTTAAGAGTATGTGAGTATATTATTATATCAGAAGACTACGTTCATTGACAACTCCTGCTTGCCGGTAGAAGAAGATTTGGTATGATTTATCATCAAGTTTAGAAAATCAGTTTTAATGATAGGTAACCCGTAGGTCGAAAGTCGCAGGAACAGTTCGTTTTGTGTTATCCCCAATAATTAGTTTATCACCATATTACGCTTGATAAATTATTATGTTTTCGGCTTACTCACGTAACAATTTGACGAGGAACTCGACTAGTTTCAAGCCATGCTAGAGGCTCATATTCATGAGCAGCATTACTCTCCATTCTTTCGACTATCTCCACGTAAAAAATCACATCAATTCGTAGCTCCGTTTTCCCGTGGAAGACAGACAAACAAACAGACCTACGCACTTTTACATTTATTATATTAGTGTGAAGTATGGATATTTCTGTGATGTCACCAAAATATTTCAACCCGGTGACATGGGGGCTGGGTCAAAATTAACTGAGTTAATCAATTTCGTACTTTCTAAGATCATTTAGACACCACTGACATACGGTGAAGGAAAACATCGGGATATTTACGTATGCCTTCGAAGGTTAAAATGTGTGACGTCCTTACATTCTGCAACACGTTGGGTAGCAGTCATTCACCTGGCTACTACGATTACTATACAGTCAATTTGATTAATGATAAGGAATCCTTGATAAATGATATAAAGGTACGTCTTTACTTTAGTAACATGATTATTGATTAATCGATTATTAACTGTGAGTGTTGCATTTATCTATTTGATCAGCTGATCTAGCCAGGTGTATGACAATGGACTTTCCTCGATTTAATATGTTGTAAACTTGATTACATTTGAACGCGTGTGTTATTGTTCGTGATGATGTACCGCCATTTCGCCGGTGCAACATACAGGGCCTCACGTTCAGGTCAGGTTTAAGTGTTATATATACCATTTTTACCTACGTAGAAAAATCGATTATTTTATATCAATAATTTTAATCAAATAAATTATTAAAATTACCTATTTAAAAATAAACATTTTTAACGATAATTTATTCTGTTATAAATTAATTTCACAAATATAATTTTCCTACTTCGAGGTGGACGGAAGTGTTTGCTTTATAGTATTTGCGTACTGTGGTTATAGACGTTCATTAACATTGATATCTAATTCAGTGAGTGGCTTAATAGTGATCAATGGCGCGGAAAAATAGTAACATAACTGTCTATTATCAAAATGTCCGTGGTCTGCGATCCA